CTATTACTGCAGACATCAGCATATGTCCCAAATCCACTAAATTGAGAAGTGTTGCTCAGGGAACAGGTCACTTGACACAAGGCTTCAATTTTTGGTTTTCAGCCTCAAAATGTTGGAAATTAGAATTTTTACTTTCTGATCAATTTTCTATATGTGCTCTATGGAAGATAAACCAATGGGAATTTCAAATCCAAAAAAAGCAATCCAAATAAAAACAGGTTTTAATAGTTTTATAAAAAAAAAAAAAAAAAATAAAATATTTCCTATATTTTTTTTTTTCATTTTACAAACTTGGTATAATCTGAAAAATATAATGAAAACAGGTTTCCAGAAATAACCAAAAATTCATGAAGGAAATGTAAAATCTCACAATGAAAAAAAAAAAGACTTTACTTGTGAAAAATAGTTTATTTTGCAATTTACAATGAAAATAAAGTAGTCAATATATAAGAAAATAAATTTAAAAAAATTACATTCATGATAGAAAATATATAATTATTAACTGGAAGAAATCTTTTTTTTTATTTGACAAGTCATATCTAAATTTTCAATGATGACTCTTTAAAATATTTTTATGAGTTTTCAAATATTATGAATTAAGTGAAAATTTATTGGAAAAAAATTGTTTATATAAAATCAACACAAAAAACCTGTTCTGAAACACATCACATGAAAACTTTTTCACTTTGTCATACATGTTTCCTCTAAAAGTGTTCATATCATTATCATACATCTTTTTTTACACACATATATAATTCCATGAACAAAAACATTACTCTAGTTTGAAGTCTTTCTAGAAATGTTTTACACAGAATTTTTGCCTCTCATTTGCCTAACATTGTTCTGATATATAGAAATTTATACATCTAATCCTCTTGTGTGTGTGTGTGTATATATATATATATATATATATATATATATATATATATATATATATACATATAGACAACATGCAGGCGACAGTCTGTTTCCTATATGCAACGTCATTGCATATACGAAACAGACTGTCGCCCTAAGTGTTGACTTTATGTTCACTTTTTATATATTTACACGTTCTATCTCTGATATTGAGCACTTTATTCCATAAATATAGCATACCTTAAGACTATATTTCTTTATATGTGTGTGTGTGTGTGTGTATTTAGGCAGTAATCCTTCTTTCATGCACATTTCATTGAATACAACAGACAAGGTGCTTTAATTTAATTTTTTATACAATTTCTCATGTGATCTAATAATTTTTTTCTTTTCAGATGATAAATTATATAAAAACTGTTTGAATGTTCTTTTTTTCCCAGAGCGCTTGTAGCTATACATTTTTCAAAGATGAAATATTTTAACTGTTAAATAAGAAATAGTTTGCTGCATGTATGTATTTATATGTTTTCATTTTTCAAAACACAGTTAAGATATTGTGTCCATGTTCATAGTTGAACATATGTTCATAATTTGTATAATACAAACACTTAATTTCATATAAATAAATGAATATAAAAAATTCATTTAATTTTTGCATAAATATCAAACAATATAACTAAGTGGATATTCAACCACTTATCAAGAGTACATTTAGTTTATTTTATATAAGCAATAGGATATGGTATATTTTTAAAAGTATTTGCTATTCATAAATATACCAATTAGTTATTATACAGTCTTCAATGAAGTACGGGCTGAAATTCATAAAATTTTCTATCAGAAAAATGATTATTTATAATAAATTTATATTTAAGTCTGCTGTATTTAATTATCTGAATTAAAATAGTAAATTTCCCTTGTGTTTATATAATTATTCAAAAATAAAAATTATTAGCATAAAATATAAAAAACATTTGTCCATTTTTTTAGTGTAGAATAATAGAATAGTGATAAGGTTAAGTTTTGTGTATCAGAAAATGAAATTGGCAAATTACCATTCTTAAGCATTATCCAATGAATATATTGACTTATGTGTAGCATTCATTTTAATGTTTAAGAAATCCTATACAAGTTAACATATATGTATATATGTACATTGTATATGTGTGCTGATATATGAATAAGTGTAAGTGTATTTTTTCTCTGTATATGTCGGTATTTTAAAGTACCTCTGTACCCTCTTAAAATATAATAAATACATCCTGCTTAATATACTTTTTTACAAATGGAATAAACTAAGTTCCTCTGGATATCTTAATAATTAATAATTATTTTATTTAAATCTGTCAGGGAATTATATTAAGAACTTTTAATATTGTATGGTAAATTGAAATTCTAAATCTTTTGCTGAGTTCTGAATATTTTTAAAATATCCTTAAACACTACTTTTGAGATAAATTTATACTTCAGATTCTTAGTTAGTAAGTGACATAAACAGTGTTTTTAACTCCCATTAACTTAACAAGATTTTCATTCAACCTTTAAATCAAAATGCAACATATGTCATAGGTCAACAACTCAAACCTTAAAGTCTACTGAGAATAAATCCTTGGGTCTTCTTCCCCCCATCCTCACCTTACGCCACAATTTCATGTTCATAATTTTGAATCGTTCTTTCACTTTTTCTCCCTCACCCTCATACAATATCTGTATATCTTGAATTTAACCTGGAGTATTTTTTCCGTTTATATTTGGTTTGCAAGTCTGAAAAATTGAAGGCTATTTTTATAACTTTCATGAAATAAAAATTATTACCTATGGTATTTTAAAAGTTTGATATTCATTATTAAATGTTTTACATGTTAACAATTCTAATCAAGAGATTGTAAATATTAATAATCTCTAAATATCGATATTTTATTTTAGTAAATATATTCATACATGTTTCATTAAATAATATAGACAAATGTTGTCTATTTATTTTATGTAAATTCTTTTCATAACGTCTGATAAGCTTAATAACATTATCATTAAACAAAGAAAGAAAATCACAATATTGATACATATTTTTTAATCCAATCTAAGCTTTCGGTTTACATAAGCCATTATCAAAGATGACAATTACAGTACAATATATTAAGCAACACATGGACAAGAATGTGATGATAGTCTGTTTCTGTTTACATGGATGATTTCCAAGCAATGATAAACATGTGCATATAAGACGCTGGAAGTGAAAATCACACTGCAGCTCATGATGTCACACATGACCACGCAAGAGTGAATTTGAGAAGTATTAAGTGTGGGAAGCCTTTGGTATAAACCAATGGCTTCTGTTATCAATTATAGGCATTTAAGAATATTTGTGGAGATTTCATAGTTTATTTTGTTTAGGTTATGTTTCAACTGTTTTATGTATATAGCTTCAAGATTTTTAGTTTTTGTTTATTGTTTTCATGTTTAAGTATAATTGTGTTTTCAACAAGGATTTTACGGAATTGTGTATGTGGCCAGGCATGTTGTTTTAAATGCCTAAAAATGTTAGAGTTTTCATTCAAATGTAGTGCAATTGTCATATATATACACATATATAAAATCAAATATATACATATGTTTAAACAAATATATAAAAGTTGGATTATAAGATGTAATACAAAGTTGAATATATTAACAATTTTATACAAAACTATTAAATTTTATACAAAGTTATAAAAATATTTCACATAGAGAAAAATTCCTTGTCTTTGCAGTATTTTTATTTACATACTTATAAAATATAATATAAACATAAATTGTTGATATGGAAACCAGAAAAAAAATCATGACCTCCTTCCTCCCAAAACATCTCTGGATTTCTTTAAAAATGATTCTATTTTAGGATTATCAAATACCGATTTTTAAAAGTTTGGTAAAAAGATTCAGTTTTAATTTATAAATTTGAGTTGGAAAAATATTCTATGTATATTTTTAAAAATTTTATAATTATATCTAAAAATAATATTTTTCCGATAAATGAAATTAAAATTATTTAGTGGTAAATATTATTAAAATAGTGAAATATTTTGTAAAATAATTTTATTTAGATTTTATTTTATTTTCAGAACTTCTAGGATATGGGATTTAATGATGTACAAATTGGATATGGTTTTTTTTTTTTTTCTGAATATATTAAATTTACCAAGTCTTGTTATAAAACATATCATTTTATATAGATATAATGTTTTAGTTTACCGCACTGCAAAATCCAATGAGAAACAATTTTTTATGCATTTTCACTAATGCAGTTCAAGGAGGTACATAGATTACAAAATATTTGACTTGTAGAAAATATTATAAAATGCATATAAGATTGTATTTATATTCATATGAAGAAAAAAATGTGTGCATGTCTTATATATATGGTTCTTTTTCTGCTTCCATGACTGAGATTGATTTTTGTGACCTTAGTTTAAAGATCTTAACTCTAAAATTGTAAATGAAACATTAAAAATATTAGAAAGTTTTAATGAAATTAACAGGTTTTTTACTTAACTATTTTGCATTATGAAAATTCATAATTGAAAATTTCTGCTAATATTCCTACTTGTCCTTTTTTACCATTTTTCTTTATATGTTTCAAAAGCATTAATAGTGATTTGAATATGTTAACAATAATGATATTTGTGTGTCTTATATGCAGAGACAAGTACAGAGTAATAAAATAGTAATGGATAGATTAAAAATGAGTTATAATATTGATGGTTTGAAATTTATCTATGTGAATACATTAGTTGATTTTCAGTTATGGACATGATTTACAAATATGAAGTAGTTATTCATATTCATGGATTTTATTTTTCTTGTCTCAGAAACTATAAACAATAATGAAAAGCATTAAGATAATTATTCTTTAATGAGAAAGATTAAAATGTAATTTAATTAAAATGGGAAAATTCCTCTCGTTTAAGAAAATTACTTCCATATTTTAAAAATAAAATTTAAAAATATATAAAAACATGTTTCAAAGTGAAGAATAAAATTGAAAATTTACATAACAATTCATGTTTGTTTTTAAAAGTATAAAAAATATATCATGTAATCACTTATATTGAAGGAAATACTTTAAAAAATAATTTGTCAGAATTTCAGTATAACTGAATGAGTTACTGAGTGGCTGAAATGAAAAGCATACTATTTTAAATATACAAGTTTGGATAGACAAGCATAAAATATATACATATAAAATTAAGAAAATGTATATCAAGTCAATTCTTAATTTAATAATTGGCATTATATATGTATCCTTTGCAAATAATAATCATACAATTTCTTTTAAAGCAAAAATGGAATATGTTTGATGGATGAAACATATGTAAATCAGGGGTAGAAATAATTACTTGTAAAAATTATTTTCAAATACAAAAGAAAAGAAATAAGAAGTGATACAGTTATGGATGGGTTTATATTAATTGGAAAAGAATTTATGAACACAATTGTGATTTTGTTTTCATAAAATGTTATTTTCCAAAAGAAATGAAAAAATTCATGAAACAAAAGAATTAACAACTTCAAATGTTAATTTTAATATGAAAAGTTTTCACTGATTTATAAATTTGAAGAGGTCAAGAGGTAGAGTGTATAAAAAATTTAGACAGAAAAAAAATGTGATTTTAATATATACCTGAAGCTTCACTTTCAGAACAATATTCAATCTGATACATAAACCCAAGATTAGAAATATTCTTTTTCAGTCTAAATACATTAAAAAATCTTTAAAAACTCTTTAAGTATTTTAAAATTTTCTATACGATGGCAAAATATAATTTTAAATGCTTTATTTAAAACAAAAAGTAAATTTCTGTTCAGATACATTATATATCTTAAACAAATTTAAAGAATATTACTGCATTTGAAATATTACAAATGCAAATTCTTAAAATTTGTTAATTTATGAAGAATCATCATCAACAGGATCAATTGCTAGTTTTGATACGGAGACATTCTGTAGTATAATGGTATTATAATTCAAATTCATTCTGAAATGATTACTTTAATTACCAGGTTCTTTGGAGGAAAAATCAATGGAAGCATACATAGTTTGGTCTTCATTATTTGTTTTAATGGGATCTTGCTTAGTGTTGGCTTTGTTGATGAATTCAAGGTCAGCATACATCAATTCAGTTTGATCTGTCTGTAATGACAAAAAATTATTCAACATATATCATTATTATACCAATAATAATAACACATATTAGAATTAAATAAGTCACTTCATGAGGGAAATAATAATGTTTAATTTGAATTTATACACAAGTAAAAACAAAGATGATCTCTGTATAGTTTATTTTATTTTTCAGAGAATGTGTTTGCAACTATGATATAAAAGTTATTTTGATAGACTTGACAAATTTGTCACATTAATGGAATCTAATGTAAAATATTTGATGTTGTTTCAAGTAAACAAACGATAATAGAATTATGAGCATCAAATCTATATAGTACTAAAACTCTAATCACATATGTAGCTTAAATAATAAATAATACCCCATCCAATTTAGGAGCATATTTTACCTTGAAACTCTGCCAAATTTCATTAAAATTAGACATGGGGATCTTGAGCTATGGTTTTTTTTTTTCTGTTTTTATGGCATTTTTACTAGGAAATTCAGTATTTTGTTTTAATACACATTCTTATCAATCTGTGTATATAAAAAACACTTGCATATATATATATATATATATATATATATATATATATATATATATATGCATATATATATATATATATATATATATATATATATATATATATATATATATATATATATAAAATAAATATCTTTGATGTTTGTCAAATACTTGATAGATGAAGATGCTATATAAATAAAATTAATCTGACTTGATGGCAAATAAATAAATAGATGCAAGCTGGTTTATGTATCATGAAAATTGAAGTAGAAACAACTATGTATAATAAAAATATTATTATTTTTTAAACGATACTAAGTGCACAAAAAGGAGGCAACCATACTTTGTTATTTCAATAAATATGAACCTCCCTAAGCAGTGGATTGCTGTTTGTTTTTGTTTATTTTTCACCTCTGAAAATTATCATATAGTAAATACTAAAATTGGTATGAACTGTCATCTTGGGGCTACTGAATGGAAAATCCTTCAGTGTGATATCAGTTTACAATTCCATTCTAAAAAAAAAGTAAAATTTTTCCTGCAGAACAATGGATCTTTCAAATTAAAGCTAGGTTCTACAAATGGAACAATGATAGGTTGATGTCATTCTGGTATTGTTTGTTCTGAAAGTCTGCTGTTTGATAATTTAATGTCCGTCATTGAATTTCTAGCTGCATTTCATCAAGAAAATAATGTAAAGTAGTGAATACATCATTGTTTGTCTAATTACCAAATACACCTATTTGAATATGACAAAATATTATGGATAGTTTAAATACATGTACTGAAATTAAAATTACAAAGAAAAAAAGAAGGAAATATTTGCTTTTGATATAGTATATCAGGGACTGTATTTTTTCACAAATTCTGAAAACGCTATCATTTATAAATTTATTACTGTGTTTTTTGACCAAAGTAATAATAATTATTACAATAACTTGTATTGTAAATACAAATTAAATTATCTGTAATTAACAATAAAATTGATAATATTGTTATCTCATCATTTTGATTTATGGATGGTCTAAGTTACTAAAAGTTTGTTATAGTACAGCAAGAAAATTGTGAAATTTATTTATTAGATCATTACAAAAGTTTGTGCCTGATTAGAAAATTAAAACAAAATTTTACATAGTCAAAAAATATTTATTAGTCAAGTACATAGTCTCCATTGTTTTTAACAACTGTCTCATGTTTTTTTTTTTTTTACAAGTTTGTTGATGTCAATTTTGTAGAAACTGTTTTTGTTGGGAGAAGGCTGTGAGGTAAATTTCGATTAAATATACAGAGTCAAATGTTTTGACATTTAAATTGTTCTGTAAACTATAACAAATGAAAATCTGAAGGAGCCAAATCAAGAGAATATGGTTGGTTCTGGAGGGTTTACCATTTTAAATTTTTATTGCTTCTATAAAGTCTGTTTTGCAACATGCACTCTTGAATTGTCATGGTGGAAAATGACTTGTTTTTTCAATTGTCAAAATTGGCCATTTTATTGAATACCAAGTCTCTTCAAATGGTGAAAAGAAGTTGAGATATTGATTTTCAAACTCTCAGCAATTTTCTCGATTGAAATTTTTGGTTTATTCTCCCCAATGGCAAGCAGAGTGTCTTCATGAATGTTGGAAGTTCACCTGGGTGTGTGGTTGATAGTTTAGGTTAAAATCATCCTGACAAAATTTGCCAAACCCCTTTTTGCCTGTCTGAAGAGCTGAAGCACAATACAAATAAAACTTCTGGATGATTTTTGTTGTAGTTCTGACTGCTATTCCTTTCTGAAATTTATAGAGCATATGAGGCTGAAAGTGCAACTTTTCATTCTCCATATTTAAGGCATCTATTTGTGGACAAAACCTCATCATTCAACAAAATATGACTTGCAAATGAGTGATGAAAGGTTTCAATCTAGAACACACCAGAAATTCTCACTAAAACAAACAGCAATGTCAAGTTGTGGTCATTTTATATTATCAATGACAATTAGGCACAAACTTTCACAATAATCTGATATGCCCACCAGATATTTATCCTTTAATTGATATCCAATAAAAGTTTGCAAATGTTCATTGCAATATGAAGTATTAACTTTTTAGGAATATAACTCATACAGATTGTTCATTTACTGAAATAACTATCAGCCTTTGGCAAAAAATGATTATTTTTATCATTAAGGTTGTACAGAAATTCAATGAATAAGAAGTCAATTTTAATTGTACCTTTTTTTCTTTCATCTCTAGGTTTTCATAAATATTTTCACTTGATTCAGTCTCTGAAATGAAGGAAAAATTGAAAATATTCATAAAAGATCTAATATCTGTGAAATAGTTTTTCATATAACTTCCAAAAATATATGAATAATAAATACTTTTAAAAATATACCATATCAAGTTCACTAATTTTGATAAACTGAAATATATGAAGAAATTCATTGAGATAATCTTTTTGTTGAACTTATGATTATCTTTCCTTTTGTTCTAACATCAAAATCAGATTTTGTTTAAATAAGTAGAAGTTGTGTGACCAAAACAGTTCCGAGAATTCATAAGAAGAGAAACTCGATATGACAAAAAACTCTTGCAGTTGATACCTGGTAAGGGGAGACATGAGTAACTTTTTGCATCAAACAAAAAATAATTGTGAGGGAATGGAATATTAGAACATTAAATTACTGTTGCCAGTTGAAAAAATATAAAACAGTAAATGAGTAGGTTAAATTTCAATATTTTAGATGTGTGCAAAATGCAGTGGGGAAACAATGAAGATTTTGTCAGCAACAAACACAGGATCATATATGCAGGTGAAGAGAAAAATGATAGAGGTGTAAGATTGATACTAGACCAAGAAATGAAGAAATGTGTTCTGAATACTGTCAGTTATGTGAAAGAATTCTTGTCGTTAAACTGAAATGAAAGCCTATCAACATATCCATCATGGTTGTGTATGTACCACCAGCACAAAGTACACAAGAAGAAAGTGAAAAGTTCTAAAAGCTAGACAATGCCAAGGGTCAATGCAAATCTCAAGAAATTATAATTGTCATGTGAAACCTGAGCATCAAAATAGTCAATAAGAAGGATGGTGAAATAGTTGGCAAATTCAGACTAGGAACTTGTAATGAACATGGAAGAAAATGGGTTCAGTGGTGTACTGTGAATAATCAAGTAGTAGCCAACAGCCAAGATGAATATGGACATGGAGAATCCCAGGAGGAGAAATGAAAATCCAAATTGACTACATGACATATCAACAAGAGATTCAGGAAGGCAGTTGTACACTGCAAAACCTGACTGTGGAAGTGATCACCTCCCAGTGATATGTAAACTTAGAGTGAAACTATGGAAATTGAAGAGGCCTAAAGCAGCACCCAAACTGCAATATGAAAGACTCTTGAACAATCTGAATCTACATGGACAGGGTGAAAAGGAGATACAACAGACAAAATGAAAATGGAAACTGAAAGTGGAACACATTAAGAGAAGGTTTAGTAACATCAGCAAACAAGATCACCCCAAAGGAAACTAAACAAAGAAAGAAAAATGGCTGGATGACAGATGATATTCTTGATATGATAGAAAAGAGACAAAAAACAATGCCAAGGCACGGAACAGAATATAGACACTACACAAAGAAATAACGAACAAATGCAGACAGTCTAAAAAGAAATGCCTCAATGAAAAATGTTCAGAAATAGAAAGAATGAGTATCCCAGATAAAGCAGATATGCATAAAAAAAAATAAGAGAACGAACAGGACAAAAGACATGCTCATCAACAGGATGTATAAAATCTAACTATGGAATGATGATATTAGAGAAAGAAAAAAATGCATCAGAGATGGAATGCATATATTTGAATTCTTCCATGAAACAAAATATCACCAAAATGGGAATATTAAAAACCAAAATGGAATCTGCACTGGTTAAATTGAACAGAAACAAAGTAGTAGGGTCAGACAGAATGGTAATAGAGATGATGGCAGCATTAGATGATTTTGGCATAGACATGTTTATAGAAATAATAAATGAAATCTACAACAGTGGCAATATACTGGAAGATTTAACTAGATATATTTTCATAGCATTGCCTAAGAAGCCAGATACAAACAAATATAAACTCCATCTGACAATCAGCCTAATAACAAATAATCATCCAAATTCTGATGAATAGTGCATGCAGCAGAATCAAATTGGTAATAGGACAAGAACAGTGTGGGTTCGTCAAAGACACTGGAACAAGGAATATGATATTTATGCTCAGAATGTTATCAAGAAGAGCAATACACATGCAGAAGAATGTGTACCTGTGTTTTATAGCTCACACAAAGGCGTTCAATAAAATATGCCACAAAGATCTGTTGGAACTGCTTGGCAACCTTGACATATTTGGGAAGAATATTAGCATCATCAACAACTTATAGTAGCAGAAAACTGTCAACATATGGATAGAAAATGAGTTCAGCAGATATACAAAAATTGAAAGGTGTGCAAGACAAGGATTTGTCTTTTCATGATTCATTATTGGTAGCCACAATATGCAGATGACACAGTATTGATAGCAGACATGGAAAGAAAACTACAAAGGCTCCTGCAGAATGTAGTGAAGGAAAGCAAGAAGAAAGGATTAAACATAAACTACAAGAAGACAAATTGGAGATACCAAAATCAAACAAGTACAAAAATTTAAATATCTGGGAAGTGTTCTAACAGAGGACGGAATGTACGGCACTGAAATCTGAAGATGTACTGGGACAGACAAAGATGCATTCTAAAAGCTAAGCAGAGTATTTAGAGACAGGAAAAGTTTGTTAAAAACAAAGAAAACAGTACTGAACTTTTAAGTGATATCTGTCATCCTATATGGCAGTGAATGTTGGACAATCTTTTCAAAGATGAAAAAGAGTCTTGAAGCAACAGAAATGTGATTCTACAGAAGGATGCTGAAGATACCATGGACCAAACATGTGAGCAATGACAAGGTTATAGAGAAAATGGAAACAAAAAGGAAACTTATATTTAGCATCAGAAAGAGGTAATTGAAATTTCTGGGGCATATAATAAAGGAGGAAAGCTTGGAAAATTTAATACTCTCAGGACAGATTGAGGGAAAGAGGGACAGGAGAAAACAATGCATAGCATACTTGACGAGCTTAAGTAAATAGCTGGCAGAACAGGATTTAGGAGCAATAATAAAAAGACAAAATTTATTCAGAGCTGCAAAAGACAAAAAATTTGGAGAGCCATGGTTACCTACGTCCTGAGCGGAGGTGGTGCATAAAGAAGATGTGAAAATTAGTTTGAATGAATCAATATATACTATATTTATGACACTTCATTTACAAAAAAAAAATCAATCAAAATTGTCAGATCAGTATGGACCTAATGTGATAGAAAAATGGAAATAAATAAAAAAAAAGTTTCTAAATTAAAACAATTGTCCAACAATCTCCATATTTTTCTGCAAATAAAAAAAATCTGAAGCTAAATTTTATTTAAATATCAAAACATTAATAAAGAATAGGAAAAAGCAAGACATTATCCTTGATGAATTAGCAATTCTTTTATGTATCATGTCCATTCAGGATGAGGGCGATTGTGGCTCTCTACAACTTCCTATCTGACATAACCATTAGTAATATTTACTTTTTAATTATACTTCCTCACCTTGTTCTGCCATCCATTTACACAAGCTTTTTAGGTAGGGTTACTCGCTACTCTCTATCCCTCTAATATCTTCAATATGTCCTGTGAGTGTCAAATTTTCCAGGACTTTCTCAGACGTTTCAACTATTTATGAATTTATATATAGTTGTCCTTTTTGTTTCCATTTTCCTTCAAACTTTCTTATTGCTTACATGTACATAGTATCCACTGCATCCTTCTCTAGAACCACATCTGTTGTGCCAAGTTTTCTCTTCATCTGTGAGGAAATTGTGAAGCATTCACTGCCATATAGGTAGATTGGTATGACATAGCAGTTCAACACTTTTCTTTATTTTTTAATTCAGTTTTATCTTAATACTTTACTTATGTCTTTGAAGGCATCTTTCTTTGCTCCAATTTGCCTTCAGATTTTGGTGTCACATTTCCTGTCTTCGGTTTAAACGCTTCCTAGATATTTAAACTTTTGTACTTGCTTGAATTTCGATGTCTCCATTATGTAATTCCCATCATTTGCTGTCTTAAAATTGATGTTTAGTCCTTCTAATTCAATAAAGATTACTCCACTGTAAAGGTTGAATAAATTTGATGAGAAGACACATTCTTGTCTTAACACCCCTTTCTATTTGTGTGTATTTACTGAACTCATTTCTATTTGTATGTAGATGGTTTGCTTGCAGTATGAGTTCTAAATCATTCTAATATCTTTCTCAAATAAATCAAACTTATCTGTCAATTGACAAATCTATATTAAACACTTTTGCATAATCTATAAAATGTAAGCATACATCTGTTTGTATTTGTATTGTTCTTTTTTATATCATTCTGGGTATAAATGTTGCATTTCTCATTCCATTATCTTTAATGCAACCATATTTTTCTTGTCTTATTTCTGCTATGTGTTTTATTCATCAGAATTTAGATGATAATTTACACTATATGGCTCATTAGTAGGACTAATCGAGTTCACATTTGTTTGCACCTGGCTTCTTAGGTAGCTATGGAAATAGATTTACTTAGGTTTTCTGGTATACTACAAATGTTGTATATTTAATTTATTATTTCCATAATTTTATCAATTCCAAAATCAACCAAGGCTGCCAGCATTTCTATTAGCATTTAGCCCTACTGCTTTGTTCTTGTTCAATTTAGCCAGATTTCAGACTAATATTTGTGGTCCTTTTATATTTTTGTGGATTGCAGGTTTTCCTCTTTCATCATGGAAGAGTTCACCAATGTATTCATTCCATCTTTGAAGTATTTGTTCTATTTTGATTTTATGCATCCTCTTGATCAACAGATTTTTTATCCTGTTATTTCTCTTATTCTTTTATGCAAAACTGCCTTATTTGTTTCTAATTACTTTGTGCACTGTTCTATATTCTGTACTAAACCTTGGCATAGTTTACTGTTTCCTCTGAAAATATTATTGGCTACTCAGTCAATCAATGCCAAATATTTTTCTTTGTAGAGGAACAGTTAATATTACCATTTCATTAAGTTTAGAATTTATCTATCATCTATTTCTTCTTTTCTTGTCTAGTTTTCTAAGGGATGATCTTGTTTACTAAATTTCTTTTTGTGTCTAACTTTGAATTTTCCTTCTCATTTAATTCATTGTATTTGCTTTTAACGCTACCAGTATATCTCTCTTTGCAATTCTGGTCATTCAGAAGTTTGTCATATTGCAATTTGAGTGCTGCCTTGGTTCTCTTCAAATTAGTCTGTGAGTCTTCCATGTTTTTGTTAATTGCAGGTTTCTTTCTTTCTTTCATCAGGGAAGTTCTTTGATATATTCATTCCATTATTAAAGTATTTTTACATTTTCTTTTATCAGTATTTACTATTTTTATTTTATGCATCCTTTCAATGAACACATTTTTTTCTTATTATTTATCTTATTCTTTTATTTATATCTGCCTTATCTATGATGTTCATTCTTTCTTTTTTCTGTATACTGTTTTGCTGCCTGCATTTGTATCTTTGTATAATATCCTTTATTCTGTGTCATGCCTTGGCATTATTTGCTGTCTTATTTTCATCATGTCTAGAATTTTATCTGATATTTTCCTTGGAATGATTTCATTTGATGCTGTAACTGAAGCTTTTCCTAATGTGTCCCACTTTGAATTTCTAGTCTCATTTTGTTCATTGTATTTGTTTTTAGTGTTGTCAGTATACCTAACTCACTTTGCAATTTAAACTATCCAGAAATGAAACAAAGATTGTGGAATGTACTTTTTGAAAATTCATTTTTCAATAACTAATTTTTAATGAAACAATATACAATTAGGAAATCAGTTATTTCATATTGTTATACTCTGCTCTAACTAGATCTCTTTCTGATTTACTCTACATCAAAACTTGTCAGCTGAATGTGAATGCAAAGAGAAGAACTAAAAATAAGGAAGTCTCTCCCTGTACACAAGCTCCAACTCACAAAACAAAAACAAAAAAATACAATATAAAAGAACCCAATCATGAATGTTGCCACCAAATTAAAAGGCATGATAAAAACACTGACCCATGATCCACCCCATCTGCTTTTAAGAATGCTGCTCGTGTACTCAAAATTATCAAGTTACCAAATGAAAAGGTTCATAATCTGAGTGTTCAAAAAATATAATCAAAATTATTCATATATGGTTGAAATTGTATTGCTTAAAATGTGTCTCCAAAAACCAAATATTTTTGTTTGATAATCCAATGACTACTTTCTTTGTAATGCTTACACTAAAAGTAATTTTATTTATACTTTCATTTGGAATAATGAAATTATTTTTACTTACTCAATTTAGCTTTAATATTTGGAGCAGGAGGTTTTTGTGCAGGTCTTGGTGCAGGTTTTTTCTTTGCTATAAAACAAGAGAAACACTTAATAAATATTGAAAAAAGGCATTTCTTTCATTTGTTTTCACTACATCAGTTCACTAAAATATGTTATGAACATTTGGATTTTTTTTAAGTATTACATTATTTACTAGAAAAGCATTTAGTGCCTTTGTTGCCAGTTCTCAAGAAAAAAAGAAAATACATAAATCAATTTTTGTTTTTGGGTTTTATTAAAATTTTAAAATAGATTTTTAAAACAATAAAAATTACTAAGGGAAATACAATATTAGTGGCTCCAAGAAAACACTATTCTTTTGACACATTTTTTGTAGGTATGAATGTTAAACTTTAACAAAACATATCTTTTGGTTTGAAAACAGATTTTGATATATAAACTTTTCTTTCTAAGGGGCTAGAAATTGATTTGTAAATATAAAAGAATGGAAAGGTTACAATTTGCAATTTAAAGAATGACAAACATTTTCAAATAAAATGGATTTAACTATTTAACTGACTGACTAATAGTGAGTAAAATACGTATAAAAATTTTATTTATATATTACAGAAAAAATAATTTTAAAAGACATAGTGGTTTCTAATGATAGTTTTGAGCTGATATTTTCTCTGTGAACAAGAATTAAAATCCATATTTATCATCTTATAAATTTGAGAAATTACACATTTACACATTCACAATTATTTGGAGATTTCAATTCAATATTTGCATACAAAGAACTGTCTTCTGTCATTAAAAAAACATGTTAATGATAAAAGCGATAAACTTCTCATAAGTTTCTCAGATTAAGAAAATTAACAAGAAAATGAAACTATATAAACATATAAAAAATCAAATTCAGCAATTTATTATTGGGAAAAGTATTTACAATACAGGTGTCTTTAAACAATTTAAAAAAATCATTACAAAAAACTTAGAAGAGGTGGCAACTAAATTTTTATTGCATATTAATGTTATTATTAAAGTTCTTTTAATGATATTAACAGTTTTATTAATGTTATGTTTTTATGTTTCAGACCACAGTTAAAAAGTTACCAGCAGTTACTCCTAAAATTGGATGACAATGACTACGAAAAAAAGCACAATGTGTGTTTTGGTTTACAGAATGTCAGATATTCACACATGAAATTACACAGCTAAATATGGAAAACAACTCCTGAGACATCAGTTAATTGTAGTGACTTTGTACACATCCTGTATTATGGATGCAGGGAAATAAACAGAACTATTTGCTGTCTTGTTTTCATTATGTCTTGAATTTTATTTGATGTTTTCCTTGGATAAAGTCAAATAAATTAAAACAAAACATCAGGTTCTTATTAAATATTTTTTACACCAATACTACAATATGATTAATAAATTATTATTGTTATTATCAGTTTGTTATGACTCAGCGTTTAAGTAAATAAAATTTAATGGTAAACTAAAGAATAAAAATTACGTCAATTAAATTTTTTACATATATCCTATAGTCTGAGTTATTTAAAAAATAAATTGACAACATGGAGGCAAGATTGGTGCAAAGCAGGTATTTTTAAAATATGATAAATATTAAGATAGGATTATGTACAACTATATATGATTCAGTCATGTTCATGATTAATACTTAAAGACATGAATAGAAGAAAAGAAGTAAATATACAGTTAATATGCAAAATGTTGCATCTAAATCAAAACAAAATTTTTTTGTTGCAATAAAATATTATAGAGTCAACCTATCATCAGTCTGAAAAAACCTAGGTAAGAATTATGTTTTAAGGTTTCTTGGAAGAACTATACTGATTAGATAAAAGAAACCAGTTACATTTACATTTCTGTCATTAATAAGAAAAGTGCTACAAAAAAATTGAAAAACATGTCTATAGAATGAAGTATTATTTAATCTGGCAATTGAATATGATTTATGATCTGTCCTTCTTTATAGCAGTGAATGCTGGACAATCTCCCCAAAGATGAAGAAGAGACTTGAAGCAACAGAAATTTGGTTCTACAGAAGGATGCTGATGATGCCAGGGCCTAACATAGGAACAATGACAAGGTTTTAGAGAAAAGGTAACTTATATCTAACATCAAGAAGAGAGAATTGAAATTTCTAGGGTAGATATAGATGGCTTGGAAAATACACTCACAAAGACAGACTGAAGGCAAGAGGGACAGAGGAAAACAATGCATAACATAGTAAATGGATGACAGAACAGGGTTTAGGATAAATAACAAAAAGACAATATTTATTAAGAGCTACAAAATCATGAAATTGTAGTGAGCCATGATCGCCTATGTGCTTAGGGCACTTCTTTTTCCTATTTCTTTTAATCAATATCACCCCAAGTAAGGCAGTACAATTACTAAAATGCAAGGGGTTACAAGGTGTGGAGGAATTAGGAACAGAAACATTAGTAATGAGGAGAAAGAGAAAATAGTAATAACAAGAACAGTTGATGGTGATTGAAATTACATTTAAATTTTTGCAGATTAAAGTTGTTTGGAAAGCATGGAACCCAAAAGGGAGTTTAGTGAGAAAAGAAACTCTTAGCATAGAACTTACGACTACATCTAGCCAGCTCAACTGTAAATTCATGAGATCTTGCTGACAGTCTAGTAATGAACTTAAATTAATAGCCTAGGTACCACAGCGAAGAGGATATTTATTGATATTTATTTCTACTTCAGTACAGAAAATGTGGCACAAGGCCTAAAATAGGGAATGGGAAAAATGGAGGGTCTTCTTCTGTCTTAACGTTAAACTTAGCTAGCCACAAACACTGACCCAAACATACAACAATATTCCTTTCACCAAAACAACGCATTCTTACTTTTCTTACTACAACCACCATAATACCTTATTGTCTCTATGAAAGTCCCCATATGTACAATTCCTTGTATCTTGAGGGAGGGGAATAAAATGACAATTTAAAAACTAACCCCAATATGTATATATACAATATGAAAAAAAACTATTTACAAGAAACTAAACAAAATAATGTTAGTAATAAAACCCCCCACAATCCCTAAATACAGCAAAAACCTCAGTTATTTTGATGAAATCAATGCAGGACTTTAATGATATAAAACATTCATTCAAGTACTCACTTAGACATACACTCATTCAGACACAACAACAAATACAAAAATTGCCCCTTATCCCCCAGAAAACTGATATCACTGACCACCTAACTAGGGTGGGGATGGGGAATTAAACCAAAGAGAAATGGGGACAGAAATAAAAGGGGCCAGTGAGCATACATCCCCTAGCTCACTGGAATGAAGTGACTAAAGACACTAAAACAACCTTAAACTAGCCTAATTTTGGGCGGGGTTGCCTAAGTTCAATACAGGGAGAACAATATCCTGATACCTAATCAAGCCAGCTCCTTTCACTTGACACAAATGCACAAGATTCACCCACCTTTTGTCAAATTTTGGTGAAGTGAGCTACGACTTTTCCATCATAATTTTGACTTTAAGCTGATGCTTAAAGTACAAGATCATTTGGGAAGAAGTGAACTTCTCACCTCCATAGAATCCCTTCTGATGTGTCATCTAAATCTCAACCCCCATAAGCCCTAGCAAGGAAAAGAACACATAGTGTTCAGCCTTTGTCAACAGCAGTACCACATTGCTCCAGACAGAACTGGACTCTGCATGCAATTCAGTGGCCATATTCATCACCTCAGAAGACATTCTTTTTAACCTAACCCTAACTACCAGAGCTTTATCTTTCTTGATAAGCAAGGTGGCTAACTCTACCCTATCTATGTAGTTTTCTACATCCCCACTATCACAGGATTTGATCCCCTGATTGACTTCTTGCTCACAAGCCGTTTGTGCCGCTAATCTATCTAGATTGAGCCGATAACTATAATCAGCAGCAAACGTACTAATTTTGGATTTTAAATTATCCCACCAGGCATTTCCAACAACCGTCCCCATCAGTTCCCTCTGTATCATTAGTAGAAGCTGATCCTGGAAATCTTGCTCACCAAATAATGATGAGTTTAATTTCCAGTCGCCAGCCATCTTAACCTTAGGCTTATCTAAGTTTACATGGACCCAGACAAGCCTATGATCTGAATAAACTATATCATGGAAACTTGTACACCCTAAGAGCCCTACATTGACTCTCCTAACTCAGTTGAGGTAGCTAGAACACACCTCTGTAGCCAAGCCGCCACTATTAGTCCAAGTCCACACTACCTCCTGAGGGTGTTCATTCCAGTAGTTATCGACAAGATCAAACTTATCTTTCACATCCCAGTTGTTAGTACCCGAATTTAACCCTATACGATCTATATTGGGGTCAAGGATGGCATTCCAATCGCACACTAAAACTAACCGATGTGATGTCATCAAAAACAAAGCAGGTCGCTCGGAATAGACATTAGGCGCATAAACCCCAATGAGACGAAGAGCCTTATCCTTTATGGTAACATCCAGCACACAAAGCCTTCCTGCTGGATCCGTGAAGACAAGAGCACACGCAGCCTTCAAAGACTTGCTCACCAGCCAAGAGATACTCCTTGAGCGTCCATCAGAACATGCTGAATAGAGGGAAAAACCCCTAGACAGAATGCATTCATAGATGTGAGAAGAAAAACGGGTCTCTTGCACACAACATATATTCACCCCAAGATGCTGATGGTCACGAGAGAGCCTTGCCCTGTGAGACTCCGACCTCAGGCCTCAGGCATTCACACTTGCAAACCAGAGAAACATGATGAAACCGATTAGGATTGCTCTCCTACATTGAACATGGCTGGGGTTAGAACACCAACTGTCTCTCCCATAGAGATGGTATTTATCAATCCACCCACGGGGATCGAATGTGGCACAAGGCCTTTTTTAATGTGGGTATCTCTGAGCCCGTAGGCCCAGCCAAAAATAAATAACCATCCAAACCTGCCGAGGCGGGCCAGTTCTGTCAACCTCCCCCAACGAAACTCTACCCTTCGGCGGAGCTTCGTCCGGGTTCCTCTCTGCAAGCAGAGAGTTCGACAGACACCCGACCCGGCAGCTCACAAAGCGCAAATACTACACTTTGATCCTAGCCACCGGGCCGAGCGAGTATTCTTTTTAGAGATCTCCCATAGAGATAGTACTCATCTCACTCTTGATGGTGCCATCAGGAGATAGGCCGCTAATATCCAGGGGGAAGGTTAGCTTTAAAGCTCTATATAGAGAGGAGTGAACAAAAAGCGGGAACCTCCCTGAACAAAACTGTTGCAATTTTTTAACATAATCATCAAAACAAGTCATCGGTAGAAACATCCCAAAAGCTTGGTTTGCCTCAGCCATCATCACCCATATTTGTTGGCCAGCCACACCGGATTGAACAACTGAGAGAATCCTTTTCGCGTTGGAGAAATTTTTTGGGTTTCTATGTCTAAATTTTTCATTTTTCTGAAATTTAATAGTGCTTTTAGATTTTTCAACCTTTTCACATGAATTAATGCCTTTTCCTCCAGTTTTTTTTGAGACTCGGCACACGTCTTCCCCTGTGTTGTATATATGTTTAGATTTGATTTTTTTTTCTATTGTGGGATTCTAAGAATCTGAAAATGGGCTTCTTTGTCTTTTCTGTTGTACATGTTTTCTTGGTGAATTTAAGGGTGTTTGCATAGGGGAGGGTTTGGGTGATGCAATGAGAGAGGATTTTTTGATGATGATTTGGGCACAGGTCCCTTCTTGAGCATGGTCATATTGGAAGTAACTTGGTTTAATGGTTTGACAATTGGAGGAGGAACCATGGGATAATGTTTTGCAACAGGGGAAAATGGTGATGAAAAGGAGATACCAGTTTTCTTTTCCAGCTCCTGACATTTATTTTTTAATGACTCCTTAAGTTGCTGCAATCTTTCCTTCTTCTGGAATGATGGTTCATATTGAAGCATCTTTTGCCGAAGTTTCTCAGAGTAGCTGGCCGGAGAATTGCCCTTAGCACTGGTTGAGGGAGTAGGGCTGTTTTTGCCTTTGCCTGTTTTGGTTGTGGAACGAGGTCCCACTGCTTGGGTCTTCCCTTTGCCCTACCAACGACCCGCCATTCCCCCTCTTCCTTCTCCTTAACCGCACTAGTGCCAGGCAAAGGCTTTTTGGGGAATGGGGGCTGAGATTTGGATCCAACTGGGGGTTTATCCACACTGGTTCTGATCACTGGCATGCCCATTACAGGTGAGACAATTACAGCATGCTGGTTTATGCCCGGTGACAATTATTGGCATTTTCTGGCCCTCTACATCCAGACAGTTGGGGATGGAGATGAATGTCTTCCTATCAATCATTAACTCGAAACTCCATCCCTAGTCAGATCGTCTGAGGAAGCACTGAGTATCTGTCCAAACTGGCACAGATAGACAGCCAAATGTTCCCTGACAATCTGAGGAGGGACCTTGTATACTGAAATGTTTGGTTCGCTACCTGCCTTCATATTCGGTCTGCAGAATGAGTCATTTGTTATTAAATCTCTTGTCATTGCTGCTTCACAATCTGCAGGCATGGGTAGCAGTACGTCCCACATAAAAAAGCCTTTCCCTTTGATGACCCTCTGTGCTTTAATGCCCAGAGAAGTCAAGGCTTTGATCACAGTGTTTTTTGTGGAGTGACAAATTTTGCATGAACACTTGTCCACCACAAAGAATGTCGCAATTCTTTTCTCAACCTTCTTTAGTTTCTCGGGATTTGACAAGAGCTCATCTGTTGTGACCAGATGTAAGTAGCTCTTGGCTTTCTCCAGGAACTCCGTCATGTTGATTTTACTTAAAAAGAATATGTACGCAAAAAAGACAATGTACAGTAAAAATATAAACAGTTAACAATTACAAATCACAAAAAGCGAGAATGCGAATGAAGACTCACAAATTAAGGCAGAAAATAAACAATAAGACTCTTTTTTTACAATAATACAACAGTAAATATGAAACTAAACAAATTCACAAATACAATATGGCTGCTACTAGAAAATTCTAGTCAGCCCAAAACGAACGAAACACGTAAACTAAAATAAAGAAGAAATAACAAATAGAAAAATAATCACGAAAAGTTAGAATAAACATGCAAAAGATTTAAACAATAGAACACAGAATATTTAACAGATATTTAAACAAAAAATGTCAAAGAACAAGGTAAAACGTAGAAATAATATATAAACAAAGAAAAATAAAGTCTGACATAGAATAAATAAAACAATGAAAAATTAAAGTAAAATTGAGGGGAGGATAAAGAAAGAAAAAAATCAAACTTTTGGCAAAAAATATAAAATTAAAAGGAACTTAAGGTAAATAATTGTTAAAAAACAAAAAATAGTTCACAAATAGTAGCAGTAGTTCATCTGGCATTAACCACTGGTCATAAGATGCCAGCAAAAAAAAGGAACTCTCCTCACAAAGGTACCATAGCAAAGAGGTCATCCAAACAATTACCATGAAAGTATTTATAAAAAAGTCACAGAGAGGTAACCTTATGGTGGTGGTCATTCAAGAATCTTTAAATTTATAGAATCTCTAAATATATAGCAAGAGCACCAGAACAGATGTGGCAACAATATTCAAAGCAAACATGAATGGTAGGCTTATAAGTATGTAAGATAAATTCTGGCAATAAAAATTGTCTAGCATAACACAAAAGAACCAACTTTATTAGCAGCAGACCTAGCAATTTATTCAATACAATCTTTCCACTTCATGGTAGTGGGAAACATTAGTCTGCAAAGGTACAATCAGACACTTCCCTGGAGTTTGGCATCAGGCATTAAAATTCACAAGTCATTCTTTGCCTGAGTTAACAACAGAATGTAGATCATTTTTGACATCAGCTACTAATTTGATCTTAACAAACTGCTCAGACTTACTATTAAAATTCAAATAAATGGTTGTGCCATCAACATAGTGAGTTGAGAAATAATGCCACCAGGAAGGTCATTTATGAAAATTAGGAACAGTATAGGTGCAAGGATAGAGCCCTGTGAGACACCTGCATTAATGCACAAAGATCTAGAAGAGTCGCTGTTCAAGACAAAATTCATTTCACCATTTTATAAGAAAGACTGAATCAGTTAAAAAAATTCATCCAGAAATTCCTAAACTTGTGAAGAAGACCAATATGTCCAACCTTGTCAAATGCCTTCCAAATATCCAAAGCAACAGCCCAAGCTTCACTATTTTTATCTAAAGCTTGATAGGCTCTTTCAGCAACAACCATCAGCAGTTGAACTAGAAAAGTGAAAGTGGTATTGCTTATCTGAAAGTAGATCCTGTGAGGTGAGATGCTTAACCAATTCCAAGTTGATCAGAGTGTCTAGAACTTTGTCAAAAAGAAATAGAAGGCTAATAAACTGACAGAAGGATCAGATGATTTGCCAAGTTCTTAAAAACAGGAACTACAGAAGAGGATTTTCAATCAGCAGGAAAGCAAAAATCAGCAAGGCAATTGTAGAGTTTAGAGAGAAAAGAAGCCAATTCAGGAGCATATTTCTTATGGACTATCCTCAGTCTACATACTTTGATGGAATCTAATTTAGAGACAATATCATAATGGATGGAGTTATATACATATGACTGAATAGACTCAGTTCTAATTAGAAAGCTAGGTAAAGATACCCCAGTCAAGAGTAGAATTTGAAGAGAATTTACAAAAAATTCCGATTTATCATTTGAAGAAGTTAACACCTCAGGCTGAGTGAAGGAAGGAGAGATAGAAAACTTATTTTTATTAATACACTATTACAGAGCCACCAGTAGTCACAAGAGCCAAACTTGTTAGAGGCTATACCATATCTTGTTCACTCTGCATAGAAAGACTTAACCTAAGTGATTTCATGACAAAAAAAAAAAATGAATACAGACAGCTAATATCACAGAAACACTTCTAACCAGCCAAGTCATATGGTAAGCCTATTTATAAGAAAATTAAATATATCAAACAGCATTCTAGTATATTTACCTCAAAATTGTTAGAATATTCCAATTGGGTAAATAATATATCATAATAAATATTACTTTAAAAACCTACTGAAATGTTTAATATTTAGATATTTTGAAATATCACCATCTTTTGTTACTCTCTCTCTCTCTCTCTATATATATATATATATATATATATATATATATATATATATATATATATATATATTTCGTTGTTGGAATTGTTACCTGATGATCGGAGTCCTTTAAAAGGATTTTGGTGAAATAAATTATTGTAATGGTACCTTAAAGTGGTCAGTTTTTTTTAATTATATATATATATATATATATATATATATATATATATATATATATATATATGACTGTTCAATGTTTTCTTTAACTTACCATTTTTACCTTGAGATTGGGTCTTCTGTGATTTATCAATTTTTGCATACAAATCTGCTGTGTTTTCTGGAAAATAAGCATAAAAGTATTTAAAAAAAGGCGCTATGATGTTATATTTATTAAACAGAAAATGTATTTATCAACTGATATGAAAACTATTCTTATAGGTTAAAAATACCTTGTCATTTTATGGTGTAGGTGGTTATGACTCTCCACGGATTACTTGGTTTTATTATCTGTGAATTACTGTGAATTTTTTGGAAAAACTGTGCAATGTTTTACTGTCTTTTACTCTTAGACTGGTTGACACCCAAGGCTAGAGAGATTTAGTTGATTTCACTCTGAGTTGTAGAAGAAAAACAAAAATATAATATATAAAAAATTAACATGAGTAGGTCTATTTGGTTGAAAATTTCATTGAAAATGATATCCAAGAACTGCCCCTTGTGGGTGACAGATCCCTGTGTAGGGAACACTTCCAACTTAAACTCTTCAATTCAAGAGTCAGTTGTTATTTTTTTATCCTCATAATTTTCACTTTGGACCATCTTCCATTCATATCATACACCTCATTCATCATTACAATTCAAGTGTAACCGTCTAGCTTGTGTAGCTCTCAAGCCTTGCAGCAAGTGAATTTTTTTAATAAATTTTCTTAACAGTTTACTTAATTTACAATTAATAGAACCTCTGTTTTTTGGTGCTAAATTCAAACTTAACTTTATCTTCTCAATTTATCAAGATATTCTTTTTTCTATTTCAAGTGACTGAACATATATACTTCTAATGGCGGAGTCTAATGGGGATTAAAAATGTAAAGCAGCTTGGAAAACTCACTCTGATCGTTCTGATAAGAAAAGAACTCCCAAATTTGTTTGTTAGAGCCTCAGACCCAACACAGAGGCCTGTATCAAGTGCCTTGGGGAGGTAGTTCTGCTCTGGGTCAAGATGATGGCTGCTAGAAAAACCTATGTCTTGCAACAGGACTCTGCACCATACCACACAAGCAGTAAAGGCTGCCAGACAATTTCTGCAACCACATCACACCACACTTCTAGCCACCTAACTGCCTAGACTGTAACCCCCTTTATTATGTGTGGAGTGCAGTGGAGAGAGAGACCAACAAAACTCTTTTTAATACCAAACATGAATTGAAGGTAAGGATTAAGGCAGCATTCACCAACTTAAACAAGGAGACCGTCCAGAAGAGTTGCAGGAGATTCCAAAGTTGTCTGGTGGTTGGGGTTGAAACCAATAGCGATTTTATAGAATAAATATACTCTTTAGTATTTCAGGATATTTTTGTATAATTTTGGTAAATATATCTGTTAAAATGAGATGTCAGTGCTATTTTGATTTTTGCGAAATTTAGACAACAACTTATTTGTCACATCCTGTGTATATATGTATTGTTTACTTCATATTATTTTGTTCTTTTCTTTCTTTTGTTATTATTTATTGGAAACTTTGTCAATTCTGTTTGTTGATCATTTCTGCCAATTACATTTAACCATGATCAATTATGGGCTCAGAAAGTGACAAATCCAAATATGAATTATAGAAAATAAAAAATCAAACAAAACAATCTTGACACCATGTGATTGCTCCAATGATGAAGAAAAATACTGTGAAAAGAATAAAGATATGTTTATTGAGTTCAATCAATTTCTTGATGTTCAAAGTCTGTCCCTTATTATAAAAGACACCCTTGACAATTGCAGAAAAGCTCTGCAATTTTGAGAGAACACTACTTATGAAAAGGAAAACTGAAAATAAATTCCCTGTATATTGAATTAATCTCTCTATGAAAAGCAAGTGACAAAAATTTTTCAGATTATATTATTAGAGCTGATAATACTGCAACTTTATTAAAAACATCATAAGTAATAAATGATAACTTGCTAATAGCCATCTTCCTAAAAGGCTTTACGTCCAAATTTAAATCATTCAAAACTGTTATTTTCCAGACAAAATAGTTAATATTCAGTGATTTCACAGTAGTATTATGAAATTTTGAAGAACTTGAAATGATGATTGAAGAAAATTGATGTCAATGGAATGACCTGTCACCCCCATGAGTGACTACACCATAGGTACTAACTAACTATAAGTATCTGTAAGTCAATGAACTACAGAGACTAGATGGGATCTGTTCCAGCTAAACAGTCAAACTCTCTGCCTTCAGGCAGAAAGAAACCCGGACAAGCCTCTACTGAAGGGCAGAGGCTCGTTCGGGGAGGTGAACTGCCTCTGAACTTGTTTATACAGGTTCAAAGGGGAATATTTTTGGCCGAGCCTATGGGCTCAGAGAACCACGCTAAACTGGCCTTGTGCCACATGCAACCCTCGTGGGGGCACAGCTAAATATACAAGCTGGGATCTGTTCCAGGTGTGCTGTAAAACTCTCTGCCTTCGGGCAGAGAGGAACCCAGATGAGGCTGTGCTGAAGGGCAGAGTCTCGTCTGGGGAGGTAGACAGACCCAAACCCATTTATGTGGGTTCTACGGGGAATTTTTGGCTAAGCATATGGGCTTGGATGATCCACGTTAAACTCAGCTTTGTACCACATCTACCTTCGTGGAGAGGGGTCGAGTAAATATTGACTAGCTGGGATCTGTTGAGTATGACTCAGATTTACATGAGACCTACTGATCTTCCAATTGTAGCTCTCACTACTGGATTGACTTGCGATGACCTTGTGCATAATTGTTACCTTTATTTTTATTGTATTGGCTTTTTACAATAAACCTTTACTTATTTTATCCACCTTGTTATTCATGTATATATTTCTATTAGCAAGGAATATAATAAAAATAACTGGTAAAAATATTACCTTAAAAGGCCAAGAACAAAGTTCAAAACTAATAATGTCCTCACCAGCTTTACATGTGATAAACCTGGATATAAAACCTCTGACTGCCAAAGTAAAATTTGGAATTATTCAGTAAATAATTCCCCTTCAAAATGTTATAATACTAATTCACTCAGTAAAAATATTATTTGTAATGTGTGTCAGAAACCTGGACATAAAAGTGCAGAAGCAAGAAGTCCCATTTCATAAAAATTTTTCAATTGGATTAAGCACCATTTCCAACAAAAAAGCTCTACTTGTTGATTGTGGAGCCACAACTTATGTTATTATTGAGATATCCTTATTTGTCAGTTTCAATAATAATTTTTAATCCAGAAAAATCACCATATTGAACTGGCAGATGGCAGTAGAACAAGTAATATTGCCTTAAAAAGAGGCAATGCTTAAGTTACTTCAATATACACACAAGGAAATATGGGATGTAGGATATATACCTACATTGAAACAAAATATATTCTAGGTACAAGACATTAGTGAAAAAGAAAGTTCTGTAAAATTTGGCCCTAATTACTCAAAACCTGTACATCCCCTTGGCGTAAAAAGAGATGAACGGTGAATTTTATTTAATAAAACAATTAAGATCCATTCATAAAAATGATCTCAAACTTTGATTCATATCATAAGAACAAAAAAAATCTGGAAGCATTATTAGTTTCTATTTAAGAGCACTTAGGATTTGTAGCCCTCAATATTTACAAGTTGAAGAAAAATACTTTGAAAATAGTTTTAAACTCCAACATCCTAATTATATCATAAGTAATGTGAAAAAGAAAATTTATTATATTCATAGAATTAGTAAATAAAGTAAATAATAGTCTTGATAAAACTAGCAACAACTACAATTGAAAAGAATTTACATAAATTTAATAACAAAATAGTTACAACAACTTCAAATACAATAAGAGATTTAATTATTACAAAACAATAAATAACCTAAAACAGGAATTTATAAAATAAACTAAAAAATTTCATAAGAAATACAGACGTGAAATATATGTAATAATTTAAATAGAAGAATATATGAACACAAAACAACCTAGTTTAATTAAACTACTTAGAAATAAAGATAGAAGCAAAATATTCTGTGCCATGAAGAAAGTAATTTATTTTCTGACATGCACACTGACATCTACATTTAATGTTAAAGTATTATAAAATTAGGCTAATTATAAGTACTGGTAATTGACAGTGTCTAGGAAAACATTAGTCTACCAGATATCTCAACTTCATATGTCCCAGAAGATATTTTAGTCAATTTTGGGGGAAAAATTATTGTCTAATATGCCATTAAATATGAAAATAACAAAAGTTGTTAAATATATGAGTCGTATTATTTAGTTGAGAAAATGATAGACAACTGAAAATGTAATTGTTGTATGCTATTGTTTACTTTAACTTACCATTCATGTCTTGAGGTTTTGTCTTCTTTGATCTATCAATTTTTGCATACAAATCTGCTACATTATCTGGAAAATAAGCATAAAAAAGTTTCAAACAAGGAATTATGATGTCATATTTATTCAACAGAAAATGTATTTAATAATTGATATCAATAATATTCTGATTGGTTAAAAAAGCCATGCCCTTTCATGATGTAGTTGATCATGACTCTCCACATGATTCTTTTCTTTATAGTCTGTGAAGTGCCAACATGGGAAAGTGATTTGGATTTTACAGATTTTCTTCTCTAAAAGCCCATTTAACCCATAGCTGAAGGGAGAGGAGCCATTCACACCTCTCCCAAGACTATTTGTTTGAATATGAACATAACAGACTTGCTTAGAATTTCAATTTGGATCACTTATTTCAACTTTGCATGCATATAATCATTACATTTCCCACAAATCCATTCTAATAGCTTGGTAGATGAGAAATAGAAAAGAAAAAGAAAATGAAAGTCAAGTTTCCAGAATTTGGTAATTAGTTAAGGTAAACATGCAAAATAAAACTATTAGAAGTAATCATCTGTGAAATTAATTCCTACATAGAGAGTTTTATAATGTTGTAAGAGTTCTTCTAGCAAATTTCAGGGTAGAGATCATAATCGGATAGGAGAGTGATATTTTGATTTCAAGTACTGAGCTATTTCCCTAAAGGGGAAAGATAATTCCAATTTCAGGCTCAGAAAAAGAATCTTCCATTTTATGTTGACAATACAGGAATTGAAAAGAATACTTATCATACAAGAAAACTAAATCAAAGGGAATATTATTTACCATTGTAAGTAAGTCAAAGTTATGTTTTATAGCTTAAAACCCTAGGTTAATGATTTTCTGTATTGCTAATTGATTTTTTTTTACTGCTTATTAAACTGACTTTCTAAAACAGAACTCTAATAGGAATATTATAATTTATAAATGACACTTGTCTTTATTAAAAAGAAAACTTAAATAAGGAGACACTAATCAATTTATGTCTTAATCATTTTAAAAACAGGTTGAAAAAGAAAAATAATTTAGTTGATCTTACTTCGAGTTGTAGCAGAAAGCAAAAAATGTAATGTAAAAGTTTAACATGAATAGGCTGAGTATTTAATTGAAAATTGTATGCAATTGAATAGGAAACTAAAATTATTGTTTGTTTGACTGTTTAGACAGTATTTTAATCCCCTAAATTTTGAAAAAGGTTATCTATTCAAGTATCAATAAGACTTTAACATATGTTAATGTAGTTGATTTAAACTACATAACTATTTGCACTGATAATTTAGCTGATAATTTGAGAAACAATGAAATATTTAATTAATCAAGAAAAGTTCAGGTGATATCAAGTTAACCAGATTATGTTATTAATATTAAGAAAAAACAAAATGTTTCATTTCAGAAATCATAAAAATACTCAGTGAGTAGAACAGACATTTGTATGAAATAAATATATCTACACTGTGTGCCAAATTATTATCATGATAACTTTTTTCTAATATTTCAAAAACCGTCCAATCAATTCACACAAAATTTTCCCACAATGTTGGCAACACTGACCTGCGCAATCACTGAAATTTTCGTACTGATCTGCACAATGTAAACAAACTTGCACCATATTTGTTATTAGCACACTGATTTGAGCGTGCCAAATTGTTAGAAAGGTTTAGTCAAATTCCCAGAATTGAGCAAACAAAACGTTTATTAAGTCTGCATGTGAATGTTTATGATCAAAAGAAGCTAATAAATAAGATAATCAAACAAATAATAACAGATACAAACAAAGGCACAGTTTTAAACAAATTAAGAGGGAATGTGCCTTACTTGAAGAAGTCTATATAAAAATAGAGTTTATAAGCATCAATTAATCCAAAATCAGAATCTGTTTATTTTTAATAAATCTTTATAAATAATAAATTAAAGCTATGTAGATTATAATGAGAGTTTTGTCATGTTATGAAATTTTGTTTTATAAAATAATTGATAGAGAATAACTATGAAAATTGAATCAAACTAAGAAAATTGATAGGGCAGCTCATTGAGGCATCAAATTACAGTATCAACTTGACGTCAAACATCCTATCCGTCATGATGCTGAAATAGCTTGTAAGAAAATAGATGTGGTAGCTCATGTTCAAAATAAAACAAACAAATTGCAAGTCAAACTTGAAGATGCAGCAAAAGCACAGCAAAATGCAAAATCCTCATGAACAGCACTTGCCATTTTTCAAATGCCAACCACCTTTATAATTATATTTCTTTTCATTGGTCAACAGTTGTACAAACAAGTTCACATGTCAAGGTAATTTGCCATTTTCTTTCGCAACACTCCACACTGACCTCATGATCACAAATCAGACAGTCTGGAGCAGGTTTCTTTAACCTGGTGCTTCATTGTAATGGGACCATCTCCATTACGTGTGCTGGAGAGTAGTCATCTGATGATTCATCAGGCATATCCAGAGTTTCTGGAACCTCTGCATCTGTGGAAGCATCATATTCATAGAACTAAATTACCTGATTGCTTTCAAATGATGTCGTAAGAGTTGCATGTTGATGTACCAGAGTTTATGAAAAGGCGCAGACCTGAGACATCCTGCTAACCATTATTGTTTGTGGACTTAGAATACCCATCATGTGACCCACTTGTTACCTGAAGGTACACCGGCCGTGGGGAGCTTTCACCCACACTCTGTTCCCAAATCTATACCTGAAGTGATTCTTACAATGTTCAGGTGGTAATGCTGTACTAGTTCTCCCTTCACTCTAAGTTGGTAATGGTGAAGCATATTTGTGAGCACAGTTTTAGATATCACTGGTCAAGCTCGGACTGTTGCTTTGGACATCTTGAAAACACTTGACAGGGTTTGGCATACCGGTCTTCTTCACAAGTTGAAATGATATGGTATTTCTGGACAAACTTCTGGACTGTTTCGATCTTCCTTATCTAATTGCAAAATGAAAGATGTCTTGAACGACCACTCGTCTAGATCTTTTTGCATTAATGCATGTGTGCTCCAGGGCTTTGTTTTTAGAACTACTTTGTTCTTAATTTTGCATCAATAACTTTTCTGATGACATCTGTTCTCAATGCTAATGACAATCATTTATTCCTGTTTTAATAAGTCTGATCAGATCAATAAGCTGAAATAAGCAGGTAATCTAAAAAAAAAAGACCTAGTTTGTTGTTAACTTGGACAAGGAGTGGTTTGTTAATTTTAACAAAACTTCTCTCGATTGATCCCCCCTGAAAGACCCCCTTCCTGTCTCCCTTCTGCATGACTGATGGTAACCTCCATGAGAGTGACGTTGCACCTATTCAGCTGATATGAAGTAAACTATATTGAATCCATTATTAGGTCTGTTGCTAAGAAAGTTGGTTCTTTGTGTCATGCTAGACAATTTTCTCTCTGGAATCTATCTTGCATATTTATAAGTCTACCATTTGTCTAGGATTCGAATATTGCTGCCACACCTGGTCTGGTGCTCCCACTGTATATTTAGAGATTCTTGATAAATTCAAAGAAGAATCAGCAATATTATTGGTTTTGACCTGGCATCTCAGTTTCAGTCACTTTTCCAATGCCGTAATGTAACTTCCCTGTGCCTTTCTATAAGTATTTTCATTGTAATTGTTTGAATGAATTCTTTGCTATGTAGCATCTTCTTCATGATCAACTCAGGGTCAATCCTGGTTTGATCAATGGTGTGATTTCTTCGATCCTGACCTGCCCTACCCCATGTTGTGATTGATTATAAGAAGGCCAAGATCGATTAGTTGCAAGTATGTTCATGTTGGGCTGGTCGAGTGAAGTTGTACAGTAAAATTAGAGAAAAAACAGTACTTGAAATATATATTAAAAAATATTTACTATTTTTATATTGAATATTGTGTACAATGGTTTGTTAGTAGTTGTATTAGCATACAGGTGTTTGCTGGCTCAACCTGCTCTTAAATCAGATGCAACACTTGGGTAAGCTGGTAAGTTTTGGCTTGTGGAGTTAGCAAAATTTGTTTTACTGATTTAGTAAGTTTTGCTCAAGGCTGAAATCAGAGGTTCTCGTGTTTATCAGGAGTTGTGGAATCTCTCAGCAACCTCCACTACTTCCCTTCTGTCTCTTCTCTGTTCTCAACTGTTAACTGTCTGAATTTGCTTCAAGCATTCGTATTTATGGACGCTAATTAGAAAGCAGTATGGGGAAAGATATACTTTGGGTTTCAGTGAATCCCCTGATTTCCAACAAGAGTCCATTGTTGTCTGCCAAAACAAAACTGGTGTAGGGGTGAGATGTAGTTCGGGGCGGGATTTGGTATTTCAGCCACCTGTCATTTCCATTGTTTTTGGTCCTGAGAAATTAAATTACTTCATAATTTTGGGGAACTCCCCTTCTGTCATGGGTGCAGGCATCACTCCACCTGGTTACTTCTACTTTCTCTTATTACTATCACCCACCAGTGCTCTCCAGTGGACAGGTCCTTCAACCTCCTTAATGTCCAATCTGTGCCTGCTACTCTTCAGTGGGTGCAGGCAGCCCCTCCTCCTTCCTTGATCGCTCTTCTGCACCTGTCACCTCCACCATTTGGTCTAAGACTCATTAAAAAAAATTATTGTTCCAACTGCTATCACCTCATAAGTGAATTGATACAACAATTGGCTTTCTCACCTTTGACCCAAGAGAACTTTACCAGGGAAAATTTTGCAATTATGGTGACAGTTCGTTCAGCCAGGGTCAGCCTACCTGCAGGCATTCAGTTTATTGTTTTCAATCCTGACATTTCTGAAAAAAGATTTTATTTGTAACTGGCATTTAATTCCAATTCCCCTCATGTCGATTTCACAGGTGTTGTTTGTCGAATAATGTCAACACTTGGCCCATTGTACAAACCAAGCATTGCTCTCAGCCGATCACCTGGTTCATTTTATAAACTTTGATTCTCTGGGAATCAATTGTTATCAGTTTATATTCAATTAATCCTTTCCATGGTAGTTCAATCATCAATATGTCATTTGTGTTGATATTCCAAGTCTTTATTATCATTAATTATCAGCAACCCAAATAGTGTTACATCTATGGTGCCTAGACTTTATGAATTTAAGCACAGTACTAGATTAGCAGCAAGATCTCATCAATTTACAACTGAAATGGCCACTACATGTAACAGTAAGTTCTATGCTAACAGTTTTTCTCATACTTTTCATTTGTAGAATTCTGTTCTTTCATGCTTTCCAACCAGCTTTGATCTTCAAAGATTTAAATGCAATGTCAATTTCTATCTACTGTCTTGATTATTCTTCTATTCTTCCCACTTCTTAATGTTTCTCTTTTTTCTTATTCTTACACACTCAGTAACCCCTTGTGTCTTTGTAGCTTTATTGTCCAGCATGGGGTGATATGATTTAAAAAAAAGAAAAAAAAAGAAAGAAGAGCCATAAGATTTGCTTAAATAAAGCCTCTCATAAAAGACTGGACACAGAATGTGGGCAACAGTTCAGTTGTCAAAACTGGTGTACTCTCAAGAACACCACCATGATTTTGATCAATTGACCTAACACACATATCCACTCAAGATCCACACTGCTCCAAACACTCACATTGGGATTTTGCTCATACACTCTTTATTAGCAAAGTTAGATTTGTGACTTTACTAATTCACTCCAAGCCTCTCCCATTGATCCAACCATGACCTGTCAACTCACCTGACAAATCTATAAATGCCAGGACTTACTAGCAACACCCTTAGAGCAAATCACTTCTGTTATCAGCGGTAATTAAAGAACAAGATATCAACAATTCTGTTATTTTTTCACACTGCCTCACAGACGGGTTATTGCTGTTTTTGTCTGATTTCCCATTCGACCAGATGCCAACAGAAACATTTCTGCACAATCATGCTTCACTAATCTACTCCAGTCCTTTCATTGACGCCACCATGATCTCAGTCAACTAACCTGCTAAATGCACCATCTCTAGTTCTTACCAACACTATGTTCAAAGTAGCCAGCATCTGTTAAACACCTATAAAAATGGCACACCTCACTGAGAAATGGTAGTTCAGCTTAACACCATGATGGTATCACATCAACTTGAAGCTCATGACCACTTCACTGGTATCAATTTTGATCTTAAAGATAGACTGATCATCACTACCAACAACACTCCACTTGTACTACCAACAGCATATATTTCCTGAACTCATACTGGTGAATCCACACCAGATAAGTCCTTTTCACACAACTATGTATGCTGGCATTGAGCATTTTGTATATATTCTGAAAACTCGTCAATACATGCTTGTAGATATTTTAATCCCTGATTGTTCTTTCGTTTGCAACTATGTGCTGGATATAACAATAAAAACATTTGTTAATTATGCAAGTGATATTATTCAGTTGAGAAAGTGCTAGACAAATGTAAATGCAGATGATGTATATTGTTTTCTTTAACATACCTTTTGTGTCTTGAGATTTGGGCTTTAATTTATCAACATTTGCATACAAATTTTCTGTGTTTTCTGGAAAATAACCATAACAGTATTTTAAACAAGGCACTATAATGTTATATTTATTAATTAAAAAACATATTTAATAAGTGATATCAAAAATATTAAAAAATGCCATGCCCTTTCATGATGTAAGCAATCATAATTCTCCACACTATCTTTTTATTTCTGCTATTTAAGCCATAGCTGCAGGTAGAGGAGCCATTCATGCTTTTCCAAAGGCTATTTGTATGCATATGAACATCAGAGTAGCTTAGAATTTGAACTCAGATCACTGATTTCAACTGTCCATGCCTATAACTGTTAGATCCTTCACACACCCACTCTAACAACTTAGTAGATCAGAAATAGAAAAGGAAAGAAAATGAAAGCTGAGTTTCCAAGTATTTTCAAGAATTTGGTATTTAGTCAAGTTAAACATGTAAAATAAAAGCTTCAGAAGTAATCATCTGTGAAATTAATTCTTACATAGATAATTTTATAACGCTCCAAGAGATTTTCTAGCAAATTTAGACATAGAGATTGTAGCTGGATAGTAGTAGTTTGATTTCATGTACTGAGTTATTCTTTTGAGAAACAGACCCCTGTGTAGAGTGCTTTTCTGAACATTTCCATCTTAAACTCTTCAAATCAAAAGTCAGTTGTTATTTACCTTATCCTCATAATTTTCACTTTCAACCATTGTCTCTTTCATTCATATTATAGGAATTAAATTTATATATTAGTGAATGTACATAATATCCTTAAAACGCTTAATGGTCAGTGAGTATCTTGCACCTGAAGATTGTGTGTTTGCATGAAACTCCGAATTGTGCTATCAATGTAGGATGTTATGTATATTCACTAATATATGCTTAATAGCGCTGTCATATAATAATGAGTACAGTTTTAATAAACAAGAAAAAATATATGTACATGCAAATATATGTATGTATACATATGTTTCTTTATTAATAGGACTTATGTTTTCTGGTTCTAAATTCAAATAAGTTAATTTTATATCTATCTTCTCAATTTATCAAGATATATCTTTTTCTGTTTTACTTATTATATCTTTCACAAGAAAAGGAATATCATTAGGAAAAAGAATAACATGAAAAGGGAAAAAAAACAAACATTATTTAATCATCGTCATCAATTCTGGTATAGAGAATTGAATTTCTTTACTTTCATTAATCTAAGTAAATTATCTTTTATTCTTTCATGCCTTAGTGGATTATTATCAAATTTTCTTAAAAACATAGCTTGAATAATTTCCAAAAGTTAAGTGATTACAAATTTATAAATATTTAGTAAGAAAATAGTAAAATTAAAGAATAATTAAAAGTGGATAATTTGATTAATGAACATTTGTTTTTTAGTGAGTGAGTGGGAAGAATGATGTTAGGATCTTATACATGCGGCAAACAAATCATGTCAATATTTACTTGCTTGTTTTATTTTTTAATTCTAAATATTTTGATGATATGAGGAATATACTGGAACTAAAGATTAAGAGAATTCATGTAAAACTGACAAACTTTAGATTTCTGATGCTGGTTTAGCTCTCACAGTTTTACTATTAAACATGTCACAGTCCTAAGGGCAGACAAATAAGCTTTGACTTTTGGTCAAGGGTCGTTATAACTTATCTAAAAATTTGAATTTCAACTGTGAAAGGAAATATACAAAATTTATTTGAGATGTCTCTTGGATTGATATTCTTAAGCCTTTCATAAAGAATTGTGCCACAGAGTTTTTTTTTCTCAGGTTAAAGCTGGCATTGATGCTTTTGTACCTTCTCATAAATACAAAGTGAAACCACAATCTTCTCCTTAGTTCACACTGGCCTGTTCAGTTGCACGGATTACTTTTTCTGTGTGTACCAGCTGGAGAGTACTGAACACAAGCGGCAACTATTTGTGTCTGCTCATAATAATTGTAAACATATCCTCAGGGAGAGTAGGTCATTGTTTGCACCTTATAGTCTCTAACAAGTTTAGTTCTCTTGACTACTCAGAATTAGTAGGGAATTGTTTTTTCAGTCCATCATGCAAAATCTTTTATAAATTTCCTGTAACTTACCATAATTTATTTTGTTCAAGGGTTTGGAGGTTTTATTAACTTGAGCATATAATGGTTCTACTTGTGATGTTGTAAATATACAAATCTAAACTGATAAAATCTTTCAGATTTTAAAATGAACATGAAGTGAATACTGATGAATACTCCAAAACAACTTTTTTTATAACTGGTTCTATTTCATTTGGCTGTCTTTCAAAAAAAAAAAAAGAGTCTTTTTAATTAATAAAACAATATTTAAAGAAATGGTTCCTGTGTCATAGCAAATAAAAATATTTAAAACAAAATGGTTATTTTAAAAGAATTAGAACAAGTTGGGATATGGAAAAATATTTATAGAGATTTTGGCTACAGTTTTATGAAAATTATAAAAATAATGGTCAAGTATGTAAAGTTGACCATAAATATTTTGGAAAATGTCTAAAACTAAGAAATTTGATTAATGCAATATATTTTCAGTGAAAATTTGTAAAAAAAATCATGTATAGAAAAATGTCTGTTTTTAAGATTTTTTAGTGTTCTTCTTTATGAATCTTTTAACCTCCAGACATGAATAATTATTATTAGTAAAAATCTAAGTAACATATTGTAATACTAAGCATGTTTCTTGAGTGTATCTATAACTTTGGGACCAATTAACTATTTTTCATCTTTTCCATTTGCTATAATTTACATTTTCTTAATTATTGAAATGCTTATTTTCATAAATTAAATCTGAATCATAATGAGCTAAAACAACTGTGGCAGATAACCTAAAGTTATTAATATGAAAACATAATAAAGACTTATGAATTTCAGACAAATTTTATAGAATAAATATATCCTTTATTAATACATAGATATGCATTAATATAAGCCTTATTAATATATATCTGCAGAACTACATTACCTGATCTTGTAAGTCAAGCAAACAACATTCAAACGTACAATAGAATTTTCTTTTGAAACAGAAATACCACATTACTTTTTCTTGATATCATGTTAATCCATATTAATCAGGATATAAAATTGGCTATTGAAAATCCATTAATAAAATAATCTCAAACTTCTATTCATATCATAACAACAAAGTAAAATCTGAAATAATTATTGCTTTCTATTTAAATAGAATAGCAATGGCACTCAATTTGTAGCCCTCAATATTTACAAGTTGAAGAAAAATACTTTGAAAATAATTTTAAACTCCAACATCCTAATTATATCATAAGTAATGTGAAAAAGAAAATTTATTATATTCATAGAATTAGTAAATAAAGTAAATAATAGTCTTGATAAAACTAGCAACAACTACAATTGAAAAGAATTTACATAATTTTAATAACAAAATAGTTACAACAACTTCAAATACAATAAGAGATTTAATTATTACAAAACAATAAATAACCTAAAACAGGAATTTATAAAATAAACTAAAAAATTTCATAAGAAATACAGACGTGAAATATATGTAATAATTTAAATAGAAGAATATATGAACACAAAACAACCTAGTTTAATTAAACTACTTAGAAATAAAGATAGAAGCAAAATATTCTGTGCCATGAAGAAAGTAATTTATTTTCTGACATGCACACTGACATCTACATTTAATGTTAAAGTATTATAAAATTAGGCTAATTATAAGTACTGGTAATTGACAGTGTCGAGGAAAACATTAGCCTACCAGATATCTCAACTTCATATGTCCCAGAAGATATTTTAGTCAATTTTGGGGGAAAAATTATTGTCTAATATGCCATTAAATATGAAAATAACAAAAGTTGTTAAATATATGAGTCGTATTATTTAGTTGAGAAAATGATAGACAACTGAAAATGTAATTGTTGTATGCTATTGTTTACTTTAACTTACCATTCATGTCTTGAGGTTTTGTCTTCTTTGATTTATCAATTTTTGCATACAAATCTGCTGCATTTCCTGGAAAATAAGCATAAAAGAATTTCAAACAAAGCAATATGATGTCATATTTATTCAACAGAAAATGTATTTAATAATTGATATCAATAATATTCTGATTGGTTAAAAAAGCCATGCCCTTTCATGATGTAGTTGATCATGACTCTCCACATGATTCTTTTCTTTATAGCCTGTGAAGTGCCATCATGGAAAAGTGATTTGGATTTCACAGATTTTCTTCTCTAAAAGCCCATTTAACCCATAGCTGAAGGGAGAGGAGCCATTCACACCTCTCCCAAGACTATTTATTTTGTATATGAACATAACAGACTTGCTTAGAATTTCAATTTGGATCACTTATTTCAACTTTGCATGCATATAATCATTACATTTCCCACAAATCCATTCTAATAGCTTGGTAGATGAAATAGAAAAAAAAATGAAAATGAAAGTCAAGTTTCCAGAATTTGGTAATTAGTTAAAGGTAAACAAAAAAAAATAAAACTATTAGAAGTAATCATCTGTGAAATTAATTCCTACATAGAGAGTTTTATAATGTTGTAAGAGTTCTTCTAGCAAATTTCAGGGTAGAGATCATAATCGGATAGGAGAGTGATATTTTGATTTCAAGTACTGAGCTATTTCCCTAAAGGGGAAAGATAATTCCAATTTCAGGCTCAGAAAAAGAATCTTCCATTTTATGTTGACAATACAGGAATTGAAAAGAATACTTATCATACAAGAAAACTAAATCAAAGGGAATATTATTTACCATTGTAAGTAAGTCAAAGTTATGTTTTATAGCTTAAAACCCTAGGTTAATGATTTTCTGTATTGCTAATTGATTTGTTTTTTACTGCTTATTAAACTGACTTTCTAAAACAGAACTCTAATAGGAATATTATAATTTATAAATGACACTTGTCTTTATTAAAAAGAAAACTTAAATAAGGAGACACTAATCAATTTATGTCTTAATCATTTTAAAAACAGGTTGAAAAAGAAAAATAATTTAGTTGATCTTACTTCGAGTTGTAGCAGAAAGCAAAAAATGTAATGTAAAAGTTTAACATGAATAGGCTGAGTATTTAATTGAAAATTGTATGCAATTGAATAGGAAACTAAAATTATTGTTTGTTTGACTGTTTAGACAGTATTTTAATCCCCTAAATTTTGAAAAAGGTTATCTATTCAAGTATCAATAAGACTTTAACATATGATAATGTAGTTGATTTAAACTACATAACTATTTGCACTAATCTAAATTATGATATTTTAGCTGATAATTTGAGAAACAATGAAATATTTAATTAATCAAGAAAAGTTCAGGTGATATCAAGTTAACCAGATTATGTTATTAATATTAAGAAAAAGCAAAATGTTTCATTTCAGAAATCATAAAAATATTCAGTGAGTAGAACAGACATTTGTTTGAAATAAATATAGCTATATTCATATTTCTAGTAACTATATAAAAATAGAGTTTATAAGCATCAATTATTCCAAAATCAGAATCTGTTTATTTTTAATAAATCTTTATAAATAATAAATTAAATCTATGTAGATTATAATGAGAGTTTTGTCATGTTATGAAATTTTGTTTTATAAAATAATTGATAGAGAATAACTATGAAAATTGAATCAAACTAAGAAAATTGATGGGGCAGCTCATTAAGGCATCAAATTACAGTATCAACTTGACATCAAACATCCTATCCGTCATGATGCTGAAATAGCTTGTAAGAAAATAGATGTGGTAGCTCATGTTCAAAATAAAACAAACAAATTGCAAGTCCAAACTTGAAGATGCAGCAAAAGCACAGCAAAAATGCAAAATCCTCATGAACAGCGCACTTGCCATTTTTCAAATGCCAACCACCTTTATAATTATATTTCTTTTCATTGGTCAACAGTTGTACAAACAAGTTCACATGTGCAAGGTAATTTGCCATTTTCTTCGCAACACTCCACACTGACCTCATGATCACAAATCAGACAGTCTGGAGCAGGTTTCTTTAACCTGGTGCTTCATTGTAATGGGACCATCTCCATTACATGTGCTGGAGAGTAGTCATCTGAGGATTCATCAGGCATATCCAGAGTTTCTGGAACCTCTGCATCTGTGGAAGCATCATATTTATAGAACTAAATTACCTGATTCCTTTCAAATGATAAGTTATTGTCAGAGTTGCATGTTGATGTACCAGAGTTTATGAAAAGGCGCAGACCTGAGACATCCTGCCAATCATTATTGTTTGTGGACTTAGAATACCCATCATGTGACCCACTTGATACCTGAAGGTACACCGGCCGTGGGGAGCTTAATGTTGTACTAATTCTCCCTTCACTCTAAGTTGGTAATGGTGAAGCATATTGGTGGGCACAGTAGTAGACAATGTGTCATTCTTTGCCATGATACTATGTCAGTACACTGCCTCCATTAGTGAACAGTGCTTTCTTGCTCCAATGAAATCTTTCCACTATGCTGTTTCCTACAGGAACATACACACAACATTAACAATGTTGGACTCCCCAGTTATCCAAATAATCTTTAATGGACTTACTTTCAAATGCAGTGTCATTGTTGGTTAGGATTTCCTTTCCTTTAAAAAAATAGTTTCCAACTGTTGGGTGACACTTCATGAGTCTTGCTGAGGAAGACGTAACTATATAGCTAATCGACTGGGGCCACAGTCAATCAACAGTGTTGTTCACCATAATGGGTAATAACCATTCCCAAATAGGTCCAGATTCCAGTCATACTTAAGTTGTTTTGTGGCCAACAACTTGAAGCTGGGTCAATTGACTGGCATTCTTTACATTTTCTGATCTGATGGCTGCCTTGGATGTCATAGTGTGAACTCATCTCACAAAATACAGCATCCACCTGATGTCAGAATCTCCACTTTGGCAATGTATGGCACTTACCTGGTCTGGAGAAATTTTGTTCACCATTGAAGCTCATATAGGTCATGTTGGCTCAACCTCCTTCTTGATCACATCATACCATCTTTGTGGTATTCTTGTAAGATTATCCACTTGATTCTGACTTAACATCACTAAACATGACAATCAATAACTTATACTCTTGGGTCAGCTTTTCAAGAGTACTCAAACACCTCCAGATCAGAATCTTCACTTGCCATCTTAGTTCATATTCTGGCTTGTCTAGTGAGGATGTCCAATACCCACCATGTGTGAGGTAATTCACCATTTTCTTCACTACACAAACATTCTTTGTAATTCACACTTGAGAAGCTATTTGAAATCAACAGTTTCCATACAAATTATGTATATATTATAAATTTACTAATTTAAAAATATGGTTCCAAGGAATTACCAAGTTTCAAAAACAAACTAAAAACTTCAAATTCAATTACAGAATTAAATTAAAGTTACTAGTCCTGTTATTTTCTAACTTTTACATAGGATTAAACTGAAGGAAAACAACATTATTAAATTTAAAATTTGAGAATACTTTAAAATATTCTTCAAGTTAGTTGTGTATGGATAATAATTAAATTAAAAAAATGAAAATAAATAAAAATTAAAAATTCACATACTATAGGCAATAAATTACATCACACTTTATAGATGCAAGTTGAATCACCCTTATTTCATTCCTGTTCCAAATGTAAAAAGGAATTTCTACTCAGCTTATTTCTAAGAACTGCCACTTTGTAGAACACCTGTGTAGGTTCTTCCCTGAACACATCCCTCTTAAACTCTTCAAGTCAAGTGTCAGAAGTTGTTTATCTTATACTCAAAATTTAAATTCTGAACATCTCTTCCATTTATATCATATACTTGATTCATCAATAGCATTTTGACTATCTACCATGAGTAGCTCTCAAGCCTTGCAGTGAGTGGATTTTTTTTTTTTTACTAAATTTTCTTAATTTTTCACTCAATTAATAGGACCTATATCTTCTGGTTCTAAATTCAAATAAGTTAATTTTATATCTATCTTCTCAATTTATCAAGATATATCTTTTTCTGTTTTACTTATTATATCTTTCACAAGAAAAGGAATATCATTAGGAAAAAGAATAACATGAAAAGGGAAAAAAAACAAACATTATTTAATCATCGTCATCAGTTCTGGTATAGAGAATTGAATTTCTTTACTTTCATTAATCTAAGTAAATTATCTTTTATTCTTTCATGCCTTAGTGGATTATTATCAAATTTTCTTAAAAACATAAGCTTGAATAATTTCCAAAAGTTAAGTGATTACAAATTTATAAATATTTAGTAAGAAAATAGTAAAATTAAAGAATAATTAAAAGTGGATAATTTGATTAATGAACATTTGTTTTAGTGAGTGAGTGGGAAGAATGATGTTAGGATCTTATACATGCGGCAAACAAATCATGTCAATATTTACTTGCTTGTTTTATTTTTTAATTCTAAATATTTTGATGATATGAGGAATATACTGGAACTAAAGATTAAGAGAATTCATGTAAAACTGACAAACTTTAGATTTCTGATGCTGGTTTAGCTCTCACAGTTTTACTATTCGGCTTATGTCACAGTCCTAAGGGCAGACAAATAAGCTTTGTCTTTTGGTCAAGGGTCGTTATAACTTATCTAAAAATTTGAATTTCAACTGTGAAAGGAAATATACAAACTTCAAATAAAACTGCTATATTAAGTATCTAGTTGGAAGGAAAGTTCTCAATGTTCCTAGATAAATTCAATCATTTTGCAACTACAAGAAAATTCCTTTCAACTATGGTGACTAGTAAATGTGAGTAAGTCAGCCATTTACTACACAAATTCTTGATATGTCTGTTCAGATTATGAGGCTCTAAATATGACCTTATTTAGCCAAATCTCTAAATTTGAATTTGGTCAATGAAAATCATTTGAATGGGCTGATTAAGAAACTGAACCTGTAAGAATCTACTATCCATCTGTTTGATACTGTATTTATTTTAGTTATGAGAAGGAATGAAATAAATAAACAACAGTAAAATTTGAACTTGAAATATTATTTATAAGGTGTTAAGTTTTCTCATATAAGTTATAAGATTTCAAGTAGATAATTAACTCAGAATTAAGGGAAATCATTTTTCAGTACATCATGCAAAATCTTTTATAAAACTCCTTTAACACCTGTAGTTTTAGTCTTTAAGACTTTTAGCTGTCTACTTCTTTTTAACAAAATACTAAAGGTTCTAATTTACTCTGGATTGATTAAGCCTCTCATCTCACAGGGTTTTCTTTCAGATAGGTAATATGACTTTCACTGCTGTAGGTTAAATACAGATGTATTAATGATTATTGCTTAAAGTGCCTATCAAGCTTTAGATAAGAATGGTGAAGCTCATTGCTGTTGATTTTCATATCTCAAAGGTATTTGACAGGGTTTGGCATACTGGTCTTCTTCAAAAGTTGAATGGTTATGGTATGTCTAGATTAATTTTTGAACTGATTTAATCTTCTTTTATCAAATTGTGAAAAGAAAGGTCTTGAATGGCCACTCTTCTAAATCTTTTTGCATTAATGCAAGTGTGCTCCTTGGACATACATTGTTCTTAATTTCATCAATGACATCCATGATGTCATCAGTTCTTAATTCATTATCTATGCTGATGACACCTGATAAATTTGATATGGTTAAATTGGCAGCTTATCTCAAAAATGATCAACAATCTGTTAATTGGGGCAGAGAGTGGCTTGTTAATTTTAACACCTCCGAAAGAAACTTCTCTTTTAATCATCTGAGAGAACCTTTTTTGCCTTACATCAGCATTGTTGATGCTAACCTCCACAAGAGTGACTCATTGTGCCTTTTAGGACTAATGTTTTTCTGCTGACATGACGTGAAAAAATTATATTGAATTAATTGCTTAGTCTGCTGCTAAGAAAGTTGGTTCACAGTGACATCCTTGCCAATTTCTTTCACCAGAATCTATCTTACATATTTGCAAACCTACCACTTGTCCTTGCTTTGAATATTGCTGCCACAACTGGTCTGATGCTACTTTTATATATTTAGAGATTCTTGATAAAATCCAAAGAAGAATCTGCAGTGTTATTGGTTCTGACCTGGCATTTTGACTTCACTCACTTTCACACTGCTGTAACATAGTTTCTGTGTACTTTTTCTATAAATACTTTCATGGTAATTGTTCCGATGAACTCTCCTTTATAGTACCTAGGTTTTATGGATATAAACTCGGTGCTAGATTAATGGCAAGATCTCATCATATTACACTTGTAACCATAATTTTTATGCTGACAATTTCTTTTCTTGCACTTCCCTCTTGTGGAACTCTCTTCCCAATTCTTGCTTCCCAATCAACTTTTATCTTCAAAAGTTTAAATGCAATGTCAATTGTTATCTTGTTTTCTTAATTCCTGTTCTTTTATTGTTCTCTCTCCTTAATAGTATTTTTCCTCATATTCTTTAATACTCAGTAACCTTAATAAGCTTTTCATTGACCAAATTCAAATTAGAGATTTAGCTAAATAAATTAGCTAAATCTCTAAATTTGAATTTGGTCAATGAAAATGTTTTGAATGGACTGATTAAGAAACTGAACCTGTAAGAATATTATTGTGAGGGAGAATATTTCCCTACAAGTTTGGACTTGACCATCAGACAAAGACTTAAAAATACTCCTACACGAAGAGGAGTAGCATTACTCATAACAGGTAGTGATTCATGGCTAAACATTTTCTTCCCTAGTTTCTATTCTACCTTATGTTTCCCTGTACCAAAAAATAATAAACTTGTTAAACCAATTCTGGTTTTCTACTGTTGTTTTTGATAACTCTGTTATAACAACTACACCTTTCTTACTATTATCGATGTTAGATACTGCATTTATTTGTTTAGTTATGAGAAGAAATGAACAAATAAACAACATTAAAATTTGAACTTGAAATATTATTTCTATGATTTCAAGCACATAATTCACTCAGAATTAGTAGGGAATTGTTTTTTCAATCCATCATGCAAAATCTTTTTATAAATTTCCTGTAACTTACCATAATTTATTTTGTTCAAGGGTTTGGAGGTTTTATTAACTTGAGCATATAATGGTTCTACTTGTGATGCTGTAAATATACAAATCTAAACTGATAAAATTTTTAAGATTTTAAAATGAACATGGAGTGAATGCTAATACTTCAAAAGAACTTTTTTTTATAAGTGGTTCTATTTCACTTGGCGATCTTTTAAAATAAAAGCAGCTTAAAAAAAAGAATCTACTTAATTAATAAAACAATATTTTAAAAAATGGTTCAGATGTCATTGTGTTTGTCTCATCTGGTTTTCACATGTCTGCACATCGTCAGTGCCTTCTCTCAACTGGTGTTATATAGCTCTCCCAGTCCCAGACCCAGGCTGACTATTGACTAATACCTGTCCAGTATTGTTCACGTGCAAATAGGCAGTGCCACCTACTCTAAGTAGAAGCCCTTCTCTTAACAGACCATTGTGGGAGGGATGCAACTTCTGGTGCTTATAGCACCACATACAAGCAACTCAGAGTCTTTTATTGAGCTGACCCAATTCTCTGTTACACTCATAGCAAATAAAAATATTTTAAAACTAAAAGGTTATTTTAAAAGAATTATACCAAATTGGGAGAAGGAAGATAAATTTTTAGAGATTTTGGTTATCATTCTATTAAAATTATAAAATAATGGTCAAGTCAGTAGTGTTGAGCATAGATTTGATTAACAATATATTTTCAAAAATTTGTAAAAAAAATAAAAAATCATGTATAGAAAAATTTATGCTTTTAAAACATTTTAGTTTTCTTATCTATGAATTTTTTAACTCCAATACTGAATAATTCTAATTAGTAAAAATCTAAATAGCATTGTAATACTAAGCATGTTTCTTAAATGACTCTGCAATTTTGTGACTAATTAACTACTTTTCATCTTTTCAATTTACAGAAACTTATAGTTTCTTAATTATTGAAATGTTTAATTTTGTAAAAAAATATCTTTTAATAATTATTATTTGTAGTTAATTTTAAAAAAATATTTTAAGATGAGATATATTAAGATATTATATGTGACAAAACTGCATTGATTATTATATTAAAAACACCTGATTCTTTTAGTTTCTTTGTATTTCTTAGAAAATGTTCAAGTCTTCAAAACTAACATTTACAGTATGTGTTAAGAATGTGAATTTTAATAATGAAATCAAAATTTTCATAAATTAACATTTAAGACAGATTCCACATGTATTGTAGGGCCATTAGTGGCTGGCATGAAACAAGCAAGTTTCTTCTCTGGCATATGCAAAAGAAGATCTGGCAATGAGAGTGCTCCAGTTTTTCCTCTATGGCTTAGAATGAAAAATCCCTTGACTTGTACAATGAAGTTTTAATGTAGAGTGCAGTATGTATGTTATTCTTGTCATTCTTTCTCACAAATTCACTTGATATGACTCAGCAGAGTGACAGCAAGAACCCCTAGGACATATTTTGTTGGAGTTTCCTTCTTCAAAACAAGAAGCTAAAGGTGTATGTTATTCTTTAAATGCATAGTTTGAAAGTAAAGCTTACCATTTGTCCTGGAATTCTCAAAGAAGGTCAGTTTGTGCAATTAAATTTTATGATAATTTAACTTAATATTGGCTTTTATAGCATATTCAATATAACATTGGTTATAGTTATTAAATTCTGGTCTTAACTACATATTTGCAGCCATTTCCTGATACAATGATGAGTCAATTTCTGGTGAATTTAGAGATCCTTTTCGAGTGAATATTTTTTTTTATCAAAGTATATCATTTGTACACCAACATAAGTAGTTATCTTTCTCTCTCTTTCTTTAGTCATTTAGGCAATGTAACTAGCAAGACAATTTTGGCTAATAATATATATATATATATATATATATATATATATATATATATGTATAAAATAAAAAGTTTGTTAGATTTTTGAAGGAGAAAGACTTCTATAAATCTCATATACAAGAATTGCCTTTCTCTTGATAGACAAGTAAAGAATAATTCATGTGTCCATTTCTAAATGTGACCCATAATCTAGCGAGTGGATTCCATCATTGGTAATACCCCTGCCAAAGAAAGGAAACTTCAGGCGTTGCCAAAATTGTAGGACAATAAGCCTGATCAATCATCCTAGTAAATTCCTGCTCTGTATCATTTTGAATCATTTGAAATCCAAGGCCAAAGAACTGCTCTCTGAGGAACAAGCAGGTTTTAGAACTGGATGAAGTACAATGGAACAGGCTTTCAATTGTAGGATCCTCATAGAGAAACATCTGCAACATGAGAAGGAAGTGTTCTACAACTTTGTTGATTTCATAAAAGCATTATTTGATTGGGTTTGGTATGATGGTCTTTGGCAAATCCTTAGGGAATTCAATGTAGATTTCAGAATTATCCAAGCCATCCAGGCCTGATATAAAGATGCCATCAGTGCAGTTCTTCTGGGAAAACAAACAGGATTCTTCCAGACAACTGTGAGACAGGAATGCATGCTTTCACCCACATTGTTCAACCTATTTCTAGAGAGAATCATGCAAGAAACCTTGAATGACCATGATCCATCAATCTCTATCAATGGCAGGCCCGTCTGTAACATACATTTTGCAGATGACCTCATAGCAGGTAGTAAAAGTGAATGCCAGGATTTGACCAACAACCTTTTTAAAAGAGAAGGATCATATAGAATGGGGGTCAGCTCCAAGAGATCCAACAATAACACCTGTGTCAATATTACCATTAACGGGAATTCATTGGAGGGAGTGACCAGTTTTAAATACTTAGGAGCAATTTTGTCTAAAGATGGTACCTGCAACTTGGAAACCTTCCCACAGATTGCCACAGACATGGCAGTGATGACCAAATTGGCAAGAATATGGAGGAGCAAAATCAGCTTTCAAACAAAGTACACACAGTACAAATTGCTGGTAGTCTCCATTCTCCTATATGGATGTGAAATGTGGACACTGTTGGCAGATACAGAGAGAAGGATACAAGTGTTTAAGAACAAATACATGAGAAAACTCCTTGTCATCTATTGGGAACATAAAACCAATGAGTTTGTGCAGAAAAGGACTGAAAGTTTTGTGGGCCACCAGGAACCTCTTCTCACGACTGTTAAATGGAGAAAAATGGCATGGTCTGGACACATTACAAAGCACAAGAGCCTGTGCAAGACCATCATGCAAGGCATTATTGAAGGTAGGAGAGGATGTCAATGTAAAACTGGTTGGACAATCTCAAACAATGAACATACCAAAATTGCTGATGGCTGTCATTGATAGACTGTTGTGAAGGAGATTTAGTGTGGCTTCTGCATTCAGACCCTCCTCTTCTCATGATTTCAAAAATCAAAGGAATGATGAATCTATTATGATGCAAATGTGTTACATTTTCATAAACACATGTAAGTATAACTAATTACATGTCAAAAAGATTGATTGATAGATTTGTTTTCTTATTGCTTATCAACCTTTTGTGGGTTATTTAAAGATAAAACACATTTCAGGTTATAAGATGCCCCACTTACAATACCCAGTGTTCCCAAGTGACCTCCCAATCTAAGTACTGACTCGGCTTGGCACTACTTAACTTCAGTTATCAAATACCAAAAATTCATCATATACTATACATTACTATAATTGGTGATAATGTAAAAATCAACAAGACTGTACATTTTAGAAAGTATTAATAAACTTTAGCATTTTGAAATTAATTAAATTAATTGAATTATTTCAATTTCCAAAAATCACTGGCTACACATCTAAGCCATTATATAAAGAGATGAGTGCAATTATTTTAGAATTAGTAAAAATATCTAGAAATTCAAGGTGAAAATAAGTAAAAAATACCTGAATTATTTTCAACACCAGAAAAGCTATCATAGATTACATTGTTGACTATTTCTCCATCTAAAAATAAAATAAGACATAATAAGCATAAACATTTGTTTCCAATGCATTATTCACTTACCATTTTTCTTTGATTCTAGAACTATCATTTTTTAAATTGCATTCCATAAATGATTTAACAATGTGTTTATTACTAGAGTGGATATTATAAGCAAGTAAAATTTATAATTGCTGCTTGGTCAGAATGGGGTTAACCTCGCTGCTTTAATATGTAAAGCCAAGAAAATTGATCTAAGTAATTTGAATTTTGCAGGTAGAACAAAAATAACACAAAGTTATTTGGCTTAGAGAAAATACCTGGGCCAATCAAATGATAGAGTAGCAATGCTGGAAGAAGAATTAATCAAATTAAATTTGGGAAGAGTATGGATCAATTATCCCAATCTCCAATCACCTCCCCCCCCCCAGTTTTTCAAAATAAACCATTCAATTTTGTCCTTTAGGTAGTTATCGCTGATGGAAAAAGTAACTGAGAACCATGCTAACAGATGATCCACCAACCTCCTTTGTTTCATCACACTTGTGAAAATTTTCCACATAAAAATTTCTGATTGCATAAAAGTCAGGAAATATTTAAGACAAACTTTAGTTGCAGGCCTGATACTATAGTTCCCTAATTATACTAAAAGTGGTGCCAACTGAATGAACTAATGGAAGTTGGCCTTATGAGGACTGACTGACTGTAGTTAAGAAAATAACAGTGCCACTGAAAAGGAAAGACTTAAAGTCAAACTGAATAAGTATATAATTTTTATTATTTTAAACAAGCATTTTAGTCTAACCTGAAAAACACCTCTTCATATTGAAAATAAACACAATGTGATTGGTGAGGTCAACTGTTGGAAAGAGATCAAATTTGGAGGGGAGGAGAACCGTCATAATAATAGAATGGTATCAGATCAGTGCAAAAGTTTGTGTAGAATTTCCATTATTAATGACTGCAACTTGACACTGGTGTTTGTGTGTTTGTTTTGGTTCTGATTTCTGGTTTGTTCTAGATTGAAATCTTTCATCATTTATTTGTGGGTTAGATTTTGTTGAATGTTGACATTTTGTCTACAAATGAATGCCTTAAAAATGGAGAATGAAAAGTCACTTTTGCCATATGAATTTTGGAAAGGATTAAGCACTGAAATTATGACAAAAAAATAATTCAGAATTGTTCTTCAACTCTTCAGACAGGCAAAATGTGGTTTGGCAGATTTCGTCAGGATGATTTTAACCTAAATGATCGACCATGCTTTGGGTGATCTTTTGACATCAATGAAGAGGATCTGCTTTCCATCATGGAGAATAAGCCAAAAGATTTTGATGGAAGAGATTGTTAAGAGTTTGAAAATTGATATCTCAATTGTCTTTCATCATTTGAAGAGACTTGGATTCAAGAAAAACAGCAAATTGAAAAGGTGTTATTTTCCATCACAGCAACACAAGATTGCATATTGCAAAACAGACCTTGTAAGAAGCTTAAAGAGTTGAAATGAGAAACCAACCAGAACCAACCATATTCTCCTGACTTTGGCTCCTTCAGATTTCCATTTGTTCCAGTCTCTATAGAACAATTTAAATGAAAAAAACATTTTCCTCCGTACGGTCAGTCAGTCAAAAACTACTTCACAACCTTCCTCCAACAAAAAACAAAATTTCTACAAAAATGACATTAACAAGCTTGTAGAATGATGAGAGGCAGTTCATAAAACAATGAAAACTATGTAAGTACTTAACTAATAAGTATTTTTCTAACTAGGTACAAATGTTTGCAGCTAAAAAAGCAAGGTATTTTTGCTACTTAATTTGAGAATGAATAATCTTAAAATCTTATATTCAGAACTCTTGCTTACTGTTGTTTTCTGTACTTTTATTATTCCATTAAGTTCATTTAGTTCATAGATACAATAAATAGTTCAATGATAAAAAAAAAACAAAGGCTTGGGAAGAGCTAGAACAATCAAGTCACCTTGTTCTGACCATGTATCAGCCATGCAAAATGAAACAGACTTTTATATGCAGAGATTACGAGTAGCTGGAATGTGCAGAATGCCAAGCGCTATCTATGATGAAGCATATTCGAATCAACAATGAAGGTCCTAATTTTGCTTGACAGTGATTTTATAACGTAAACAACATGAAGGACATTCTTGAAAACATTGATGTGGATAATCTACTATCCTTTTTTATAATTTATCTTATTATTTGAAAATTATTAAGATTAAAAAGGAATATTTGAAACCATATAATTGTGTACAAATTATTTGCATTACAGTTAAGTACTTGAAGCTATAATTGCTTGAAATAAATAAAAAAAATGAAAAAATGATTTCAACATTAAATAATGCACCAAAGATTGACTTGCCATAATGCTAACCAACTAAAAATCTCTGCAACATTTTTTCTTAATTAAATGTTGGTACATGTTTCAAGAATAATATTCCCTTCATCAGCCAAAGATTTACATTGAGTTAATTTTATTAACAATGATTTTATGAAACATTTTTAAACATTTATTCTGTCCACATGTTAGTATTTAAAAGACAACTTAAAAAAGTTTTTGATATAAAGATTTAAAAAAAGAAAAACTTACCAGCCACTGAATTATTATTATCAACAAGATTTCTAAATGAATAAAAATATGAGTAAGAATTATAAGGAATTTTAAATAGATAAATATGTTTATGAATAAAGGAGTGTAAACAGAAAAGTAAACAATGTAAAATTACATAAAATGAAATCAGTTTTTTGTTTTGTTTGTGTGTAAATATGTTTCTGAGAAGTAAATTGATTAGAGGAGTTTACAGATATATAAAAAATTTAAAGAGACAAACAAAAATTTAGTTCATGCACTTTACTTATCATATGCAAAAATAATGAGAAATCATATTTAAAATTAGAAAACCAAAACTGTTATTGATTATTAGAAGATTATGAAATATATTAAACAAGAAATGGATATATACATGTGTACACATTTTTGTCATGTATCATTTTTGTCCAAATATTTGATTACATCCATTTGCATTATCAACATTCTTTAATTGATTTTATTCTTAAATTAATAAATTTGTCCACAATTTACATTATTCGGACTATTGTCCTCATCTTTGTTGCCATATTTATCACAATATTTCAGCCACTGTACACTCTGGCCTTCTTCAGTTGGTTGAAATATCGAAGTGAACCCTTTATTTCACTCGCTGGGGTAGACTGTTCTAGCTCCATGTCAGTTATCTCCTGTTAATTCACCTCTCCAAGTTCTCCACTGTCTTAACCAGGTATTGAACTCACAACTCTTTGGGTCCTGTCACTAGATCTAACCAACACCTTTATCCACTGTACCATATGTCCTTAAGGACATCTGTGTATGAATTTCTGGCACTTATAAACTTAATATTCAACATTCCAATCACCTGAAGAAGGCTGGAGCATTGTGATAAATATGGCAACAAAGATGAGGACAATAGTCTGAATAATGTAAATAGTGTACATATACCTCATCTCAGAAATATAGACACATAAATTTGTCCTTATTTTAATCTATTTAAATCTTTCATAGCATATATCAAATACATCTGAATCTCATTGTCATTCCTTTTTTTCTCTTCATTCTACCACTGTGACAAAAAAGAAATGGTTATTACTCAAAACAGTTTTGTAATAAGCACAATAAGTTCATTTTAATGTATAGTTATATTGCAAAATAATTAGAAGCTTTTAAAAGAAGTCACATACCCAAACACTATAAAGAAAGTTTGGAATATAAGAAAAACAAAGATTTTTTTTATACATAATAAAAATCATTGCTCAGAAATATGATGGTGAAATATTTAATATATTTAGTAGTATATTTGACTTATAATTTAATCTTCTGGTCAAATAATACTAAGATAAATATCAATTACACAAAACCAGTTTTATGTGTCCAAGTAGATTCACATATATAACACACTTACATTATACAGGATGATACAAATGCACGCATTTATATATCTCGTGATGACTATGAAAATACTTGACTAGACTGAATAAAGAAAAAGATAGAACAAATATGTGTATTCATATCAAAGGGTCTTATTCTCTATGCCTTTAGGTTTAAATCACCAGCAGCAGTTGTGACATAAAGCAGTATGGCAGTGAATCTTCTTATAACATATATAGCATGTTCCTCCTTTTTGGTTTGGTTTGGTTTGTTTTACGGCATATCAACCTCAATGAGTTATTTAATGCCGACAAAATTTTCATTGTTGGTAATATTTTTTTCCAAAAATCTATTTCTGATAAGAATTTCCCTTCGCTGGTAATATTTTTTTTTTCAAAAAATGTATTTCTGGTAATATTTGTTTTTCAAAAATGTATTGCTGGTAATAATTTTTTTATACAAAGTATTTCTGGTATTAAAACCTATTCTTACACTTTCATAGTGTTTTGATCAGAGTTTGGGGGTTAACTATTTGTCCATAGCTGGGACCCTAACAGGTGCTACCACCCCAGGTCAGGGTGGACCTGGGAACACCAGCAAATTAGAGGTGGTTCCATGCTCCTCAAAACCTCCTGAGCAGAGGCTTTGCAGTCAGATGTAGTTTATCGCCTGACCCAGGATGAGTTCCCCTATTTTGATTTTATTAATATTATTATTTTCTGTATTTTTGGGGAAGTTTTACTATTCTTCCACTTTGTGGTTTTCATATTTTGTGTTGTTGTTATTGATTCTGTCTATTGGGTTTGGGGTTTTCTGGTATTATGTTGTCATAGTCAATATTAATATTTGTTGGTTCCTTTGTTTTGAGTAAGTGACGCCTGTTGAATTTTATTTGTTTTCCTTCTTTGGTGAGGACTAGATTAGAATATGGTTGGACTAGTTTTTTGATTACATTGCCTTTTCTGAACCAATTATTTTTTAATTTGATTCTCACACTACCATTTGGTCAGTTTATGAAATCTGGGGACTTTTATATTTGTGACTTTTGGTGTTTGTTGTTTGTGATATTGGGGAGATTTGCTTGTAGGATTCTGTTCATAAGTTGTTTAGTCAGAGGAAGGTAGCCATTTTTTAGAAGTGGTGTATGTTGTAGGGTCAATCTATTCAGATTAAAAGTGAAAAATTAAAATCCAAGTGTCGTGCTCACAAATACAACGTAACATGAAGAAATTATGTTTTTTTTTTTTTTTTTTTACATAGGCAAAACAGCAAACCTGATTGAAATAATTACATATTTATGTACATATTAACATTTTCTTTTACATGGTAAACATTGTGTTTGTTCTGGTTGTAAAAAATCAAAGTTCAAATGTTCGACAAAATTTTCCATTTTTTTAAAAGGTAGTTCGTAAATTCATATGCCTTGGTAAATATAAAGTGTGTATATATGCGCGTGTGTCTGAAGCACATTTTAACGGATATGTGTGGCTGCTGAGTAAATGTGTGTGTGGAGGTGGTGGTGAAGCACATTAGTAGAAACATTGCTTGTGTGAGTGCTAATATATGAAATTAGATTACGGAGGTTCCAAAAGGAAATGGATGTACAGATAGATGATTAGACTTACTTTTTATCACGGATACAAATATTTCTTTAGTTTGTGTGAATATTCCTTTGAATGGTATGTAGCCATCACTAACTGAGGTGTTGTCATTGTAATAAAAGAATTCTGGTTGGGTGTTTACAGATTCAATCATCTATCATTGACAGGTGATCTATGTCCAGCTGCTGACTAAGTTTTTGTTGTGTGTGTTTTTATTGCCCCTGAAATCGGTGTATATATATATATATATATACTTATCCTGATTATGTGATGGGCTCCAAATGAAAGCTTTTCAGTTTACATGGGGTTCAAACATATGAATGTAGTTGGAAACTTAGTGCATCACTCTACTATCCAATAAAATTCCAGAAACGACTTAATTTTGGATCCTATTTTTTTTATCGATTTGTACAAAAGTTTTTGTTTTAGTGTTTCTGATCCTATTTATGTGAGGGCATTTCTTATTTACACCTATTGGTGTAATATAGGATTTTATATCTTATATGTAATGCTAGGAGTAACATGTAAGGATCTTCATTGGTTTTTATGGCTTTTTTAGGGTTTTTTAATAGTCTGTATGTTTCTTTTTACCATGCCATTGGCTGGAGCGTAATTTGGATTGGTAATTATGTGGTTAAAATCTCATTCTTTGGTAAATTTATTAATGATGTGAATTTGGGACCACTGTATACCAAATTTTGACAATGTGGTTTTCAGTTTTCTGATGACTGTTGATGATTGGCAGTCATCTACTTTGTGTATGTCAAAGTACCTCATTGTATAGTCTATAATATTTAGGTATAAATTACTATAAAGATGGAAGATATCTGTTCTCACTTTTGTCCATAGAGTGACTAGTATTTCATGATTAGTGAGAGTTTCAGCTGGTTGCTGATTCCTGTGATCAATGCATGTAGAACATGTTTTTACCATGTTTTTGATTTGGGAATTTATGTCTGGCCAGTACACTCATTCTCCGGTTTGTGCAATGCACTTTTCAATACCTAAATTTCTTGTATGTATTTTTTGTAGTACTTCTCTGCAGAATGAGCTGGGGACTATGATGCAAGTGCCTTTTAAGATAAATTCTTTGATAACTGATAGTTCATGCTGGATAGAACCAAAATTTTGAATGTTAGATGGCATTTTCTCCTTAGACAGCCATCCATCTTTTGTGTATCTGAAAAGTGCTTGTAGTGTTGGAACGCTTGCAGTGTCTTCTCTATATACATAGAGTTTGTTGTCAGATATTGGATATTTATTTATTATTGAATGTATATAAGTTACCATCTTTGTTTTAGATATTTCCAAGCTTGTGTGTTCAAGATATGCACAGGATAAAGTGTCTGCATGACCTGGCATATTATGAGTTGAAAGTCTTACAGTTACAAGGCTAATAAAAACCTTTGGGTTCTTGGAGGAGATTTTATTAGAGGTTTTTGAAATATCTGTTTGAGTGGTTTGTGATCGTTTTCAATCACAAAATGGGTAGCATATATGAATTGATGGTATTTTTTGCAAGGAAATACAATGCTCAAAGCTTCACTTTTGCCATGACTGTTTGCAGTTTGGAGTACCATGTTGTTTGTCTTGGTGATTTGGTAACTACCTGTCTTGTTGTTGGCCTCATTATTTTCTAGGCTGATGTGTTGGTGATCTTATCACAGCAAAGCATTTATTAGCATGCTGTAAGCACTGGGGTCATCATTGGTAATGTCCCAGTTGGGTAGTTTGGGTAAACCAATGTTGGCATGTCAACCGGTGATCATGTAATGCAGCGAGATGCCACTGCCATCTTGCTGCATTACTGTTTGTGGTAGTGTTCATAGATGATACAACAGTTCAATGATATTGGTCCATTCACAGTTCCTGCCCTTGCAGAGCATATAGAGAGCGTTTTTTAATGTGCAATGTTGTCGTTTGATGTTGCTGGAACATTGTGGATGCCAAGGACAGTGAAGACCTGTGTGACTGATGTTATCTTGCAGAAGTTCTTATACACTTCACTTGAAAAGTGGGTGCCATTGCAGAAGATACGATACAGGGTAGCTACCAGTGGTGAAGGAAGAATTGGTAGAGTGTATAAGCCATATCGATTG